ACCAGCTGGAACTGTTGTCCCGCATGCAAATCACGTCCCCATTCAACTCCTCCTTCCTTCCCTCCTTCACGACATCGTTGCACTGCTAAGCGTCCAAGTCGATCACGAGGACAAGTTGGTCTCTATGAAACCAGGGCCCGGATTCTGCCGTCTCCGTGGTGGTTGTTGTTGTTGACTGACCCAGCTTACCGAAATCTATCTTCCCTCCCAATCAATACTATATACCTGTCTATGCGCCGTTTTGACTGAGTCTCAACTCTCTGTGAACCTGCACTCTGTCCACTGCTCTGCGTCTCCACAGGATCAGTCCAAGAAAAGCATCTTTATTCCCACCCTCGGTCACAGGAGCTCGAGATGCCTCTTACAGACTGTATGAACAGTGACCAAACTGCAAACTTGCTGTCTGCTGACCCGCCTCTACAGACAATCCGTTCGCGAAGCGCGAAGAATTTACCCAGAGAAACCTCATTGCCTACAAGATCCTCACGATAGTCAGCTGGCTCGTTCTCGTTATCTCTGGAGCAGTCTACACCTTCGAGCGTCCCACCGATTGCAAACATCACAAAGATTGTCACACAATATGGGGCCAGAACAATCACCACCCAACAGGGTTCAGTGTCAATTCGGTGCTGACCAGCATCTACTGGGTCATTGTCCTCATCTTACAAGCACACTATGTTCGATTTCTTTGGAGTGCGGAAAAGGATTACGTTACTAATGCTGCCAATGTGGGCTCGCATTTCATTCTGGTATGCTTCTCGAGCGTCAGAGTAAATACGCCATCACTAACGGTATTTCCCAGCACAACCTCTTGACCTTTGGCTTCATTATGCTTTGGGTCCGGTCGTACTTTTGGCAGGGCGAGCTCCTTCTCATTGTCAACCTGTTCAACCTGACAGCTCTTTACTTTGGCCACCCAACCACTCCCTTGATCATCCACATTCCCATAGTCTCCGCACCCTTCGCCTGGAACTATGTCGCAATCTTCTGGAATGGAGCTGCGATGGTCCCTGGCGCCACCAAGCTGCCTGCTCGGATTGTTGCCAACATCTTTATTTGGGGCATTCTTATGCTGGGCGCCTTCTTCCTCGCGGTCTTCAAAGACTATACCATGGGTTTTGAGTTGGCTATTCTCGCCCTATGTGAGCTTCACCATCCTGTTTTTTTCTTTTCTTTTCTTTTCTTTTCTTTTTTCTTTTTTCTTTGGCTAACCCTACATCAAATAGCACTTGCACTGGGCCAACTTGCTACAAAGGTTGTGGCCTTCCAGTGGATCTTTGCTTTCGTCATTGCCGGTGTCCTTTTCGTTCTCTCCCTCGCAGTGGGAGCTCCCACGCTCTTTGGAGCAGATCGCAGCGCTCGCCAAGAGGGTGCAATTGTGAGCGAGGATCGAGAACGAGCACCCCTTCTGGACGACCACTGAAGCAGAGGTCCACCACAGTGCGTCATGGTTGTGCGACATGGCACTCGTCAGGTCATGAGTTCAGAGTGCACATCGAATAACGTTTCAAGTTGCCGGAATTGGCTGCCTTCCATTTCTCAGGACAGGCCCAATACAAGATTCTTTATGGTAATCGCCTGGTCGCTGTAATGTCTTGGTCGGATGATGAGACGACCGGAGTCTGCTCCTTACTTGTCTATCAGGAGAAGTCGGGCCTTGGGGTGGTGCCGCATCTATTCTCACACAGTAATCTGCGCCTTTACATGGGCCCATACTCAGTATGAGAGGAAGGAAAGGGCCATCTCTTTTCGGGCGGCAGACAAGATACCCACTTCACCACAAGCATGTGGAGTTTTAACATTTCCTTGTTGCTTTGGGCTGGTTTTGGTCACAGATAACATCACACACAAAGAATTAGTATCCAAACAAAAACTTATCTTGTCCAGGGCTGTGAACCAACCAGATTGCAGGGTTTGGAGAGGTTCAGCAGGCGCCTGGTTTGTATTGCAATAGCCAGCCATTTCGCATTTCGCATCTTGTGCGGCTGTGCCCCTCCTTAGCCTCAACCACACGCGGCTGGGGACTTGGGAGGATCGAAGAGCAACCCAGCCGCGCCACGGATTTTTCTTTATTTTCGTTTCATGTCTGAACTCTTTGATCTCCTCTCATGGCCACGGACGATCCCGATTTGTCGCTCGCAACCATGGCGGATTCAGACGTTGTGGCTGAGGGCAAGTCGCCACCGACGTCTCCACTGTCTGATACCAAGGCGACCAAGACGTTGTCTCTGTCGACTGAGGCACAAGCCAACACCGAACCCCAGGCCGACAAGGACTCTGTGAGCTCAGGATCACCGACTGCATCGACGTCTCCGGATGACAACGACGGAAAGACAAGCATGGCCCACTTCATGGAACCTGATCCAGAAACCATTCACCCCGATGTTGACCTCAACGACCGCAACAATCTCGTTCGCCTGCTCGCTCTCTATCAGTCCGGCTGGGAACAGGGGCGCGGGCGCGGCCCCCGAGACCATGACACCTGTATCTGGTGTAGAGGACCTGTGGCATCAAACGTTCAAAACCTTACCCATGTCGGCACGAGCAACAGTTGTAGGAACAGCTGGCCCGCGACCTGCCTCATGGACTGGATCAACCAAGAGCTCGACGTTGTCCGCAATCGCGTGTTGCGATGCCCCATGTGTCGAGAGGAGTTTTTTAACATCTACACTCAGTCTCGCGCCGATTTCAGGGCGAACCAAGGAGGACCGGATGCGGAGCTTGTGATTAATGGCGCCTGGTTGAGATGTATTCTCTTCAGTCCCATCTATGCCAGGGAGTTTTGTATCAAGAGTGGAAAGCCGCTCATCATCGTCAAGAGTGAGGAAGCCCGGAAGCTCATGCTTCTGAACAGAGAGAAAGCCATCTTCAACCCATGTGAAGGGCTTGCTCGAACTCCCTACGAGGCGAAGGGGAGGTGGTTTCGTAGGCTCAACCTTCCAGACACATCAGCCACTGCTGGACAACCCCAGCCCTTCGCCTCGGCTGAAGCCCTAGCCCTCGCCTCCACAGGACAAATCCAACCTCTCTACGCTGCTGGACAAGCCCTCGTCTCTGCTGGAGATGTGTCTGCTGGACAAGCCATCGTCGCTACTCAACAAGCCTTCGCCTCAGTCCCGAGTCTACAGGCTCCAGCCATTCCCACCAATCCTGCCGGACAAATCCAAACCCTCGAAAACTCTGAACTCCCCAACCCATATGCTCCAGCCATCCCCCTCGGTCGTGCCGAGAAAAATGACGAGCCACCGAACCCCGCCCTCGACACAGTCTGGGTCCTCCTCGACTGGGGAAACAACCAATTCCGAATGGCACCATTCTTGTCTGTCCAGGCCCATGCCTTGAAGATCCTGACGGAGGAACAGGGAGGAGTTGTGAAGACCATGACAGCAGATGAGTTCGGTGCGCTGGCCAAGGAAAATGGAGGTCTGAAGGCCGTGGTTACGGGTTTCAAGGCTGACAATGTCGAAGAGATGGATGAAATGGAGACCTCGGGCAAGAACTGGCTAAAGAAATTGCGGTCTGAGTTTTCGGAGGACGGTCCATACGCGTCGGATAGGACCTGGTATGAAAGACTTGTCGATTCTTTTCGAGTCAGGCTGTTTGAGCCACCAACCGATGGCGACAATGACGGCGAAGGCGCCTTGGGCGTCCAGGAGCATCCCCCGGGTATGCAGACAGACGCGGATGACGAATGGGAGGATTCGGAAGAGTCCTTGCTGGACGATGCGCTTGAGTAGATGGCAGCAGGCAGCACCATTTCCACCCCCATCACTCGCCGTGTGAATCCGTCACCAGGGCGATATAGTTGGTAAGGCCAAGGGCACTCAGAAGAAACAAACTCAGCATAGTTGGGAGCAGCACCCTGGAGGAGCGGTCAACTTGGGAGCGCCCCGTCGGTCCTCCGGTTCATCAATCATGAGCAGATACATAGGTGCTGAGTAGGGCTGTCGGTGGCATTACTTCTGGCAAGGCTTGGAGGCATAGGAGACATTGGAAGGAAGGCACGAAAGCTAGAGCTAGACCCAGAGCCAGAGCCGGTACCATAGCCATGCCATAGGCAAAGCAGCTCCCACAGCCATAACAGCTCCATAGCAAAGCAAAGTCATAGCAAATGCAAATTACTCCGTAGCCGGAAGATGGCTGTCCGTCTCTCTACGTGACAAATCCCAAACGCACTAACTTACGCTGCAACACGGCCCGCACACGACAATGAGGCCATGACCAAATTGAATAGGTAGGCCAGACACGATCAAGTCATATCTATATATCTATATATCTATATACTGGTATAAACGGCGGCATATTCCATCTCGACCCTTTATAGTTCTACTCTGTTTAATCTTCAAAAGAATGTGATGTGATATGTGTGTGTGTGTGTGTGTGTGTTTGTCTTCCAATGCGATTTTTAGCGGTGTATTGTTCAAGGTACCCTGGACCTACTTTGGGTTCGTTACGAGGTATTAGAAATAGGTAGGGATGGGTGGTTAAGGATGTGTACAGCGCGTTTATATGTGAGTAATAGTCAGGACAGTTGGTTCATTCAGCTCAGTCAGGTAGATAGATGGTCGTTCAGACCGGGAGAGGTTCTTCTTTTCATTTGTAGTCCCTAGATCCATTCACGTATCCACATTTATTCCAATTCCAACCGGGTCCTCCTGCCTGTCTCTCCCTGTGTTCCAGATATGTATGCATCCGTACAGACATTTATATGTTCATGTTGCAATTGACCAAGTGATTAGTTAATAACCAGGTAGGCACACAGGAAGGATAGCCAAAACGAACGACGTCTTAAAAAAACAAGGGACGAAGAAAAAGAAAATCAAACTCGCTTGCTCCTGCTCTTGCTCGTGGACAGGGATTTTACACTCATAGACCGACTCGCAGTTTTCATGGCCATCCATTTCTTTTTTTTCTTTTCTTTTTTCTTTTTCTTTTCCCCACCCCATCAGGTCCGTTTATCCAATCCGCACATGTTATTATTCGCGCACTCGCTCCCACACTCACTCGTAATCGCCACCCCACTCCTTCGCCCTCTCCTTCTCCCTCATACCCATCTTGGCCTCGACCCAGTCCTCCACCGTGACCCAGCCTCTCCGGCCGGAGAGGACGGCGTTGCGGATCGCAAACTGCCACTCGCGCCACCATTCCTGCGCGATCAGCGAGGGCAGGCCGGTCCGGTCGCTGGCGGTGGCTTCTCCCTCTCCCGGGCCGCCGCCGCCGCTCGTGGAGGTGGAGGAGGCTGAGGAGGCCGGTTCGGTGGGCGCGGTCGTGGTCACTGGTGATGACGGTGATGACGACGAGGCATTCGGTCCTGCTACTGCTGATGTTGTTGCTTCTGTTTCGTCGGCGGTGTCTGTTTGGCGCTCGTGGTCGGTGGTCGTGGCCGTGCCGACGACGGGCCACTCGACGTCGACGACCTCGTACTTCTTGGTCGGGTAGAGGCGAAGGATGTTCGTAAACCAATTGCTCGACTTGCGCTGGATCACCACGTCCGAGTACTGCACCGGGAATTCCACGTGCAGTTTGCCCCGGTATTTCATCAGGGCCAGGAGGGTCCGCACGTGGCCCTCGAGCAGGGCGGTCGGGAGGTTCGGCGTCGAGCGGTGGAGTGCGAAGCTAATGTAGGAGGCGAGTGGTTAGGTGGGTTTGGTCATAGGTAGATGAGTATATAGTGGATCAAGGAGGTAAGATGCTGTGGGGATCGAGTTTGAGAAACGAACGTGATGGGATCAAGGAGGAGCCTGGCCAAGGGAAAAGCAACAATCAACCCATGGACTCACCTTCGATTCTCAGCCCTATCTTCACAAAACTTCTTCGCCCACAGCTCGAGGGGGGACATATTCATCTCCTCTCTGGTCATCTGCTTCGGCGACCCATTGGACGACCCATGCTGGTACCGCTTGACCTTTAGACGACCCCTGCCACTCTCTGTCCCTCCCCGGTCCAAATCCAACATACTCGTCAGGTTGAGCTTCAACTCGAAATCCACGACCGTGTTGACGTGCACGTGGGTGCCCCGGATCACCATGATCGGCTTCGGCGGCAGACACGCCTGCTCGCGAATGAACCTGAGGAGCGTCTTTTGCTGTTTTTGAGAGGTCGACGACGAGTGTGAGCTAGACGTCAGCTCCGGGTTGGTGGTCGTGGTGACGGTCTGGTCCTCTGACAGTTTGGAGTCGCGGATCCGGTATTTCGCGAACGAGACCGTCGTTAACCGGGACAGAGCCGAGAGCGGGTTTTGTGAGGGGATGGAGAGGGGTGCTGTTGCTGATGCAGGCTGTTGAGGAGGTTGACTCTGCGATGATGGACTGTCGGTCCAGGGATTGGAGTTGGGAAGGACTGTATGTTCGTAGGAGGGCGGCAGGTCCGTTGGTGTCGAAGACGAGTCCGCAACGCCGGTACTCTGTAGACTTCTTTTCTCTGAAGAAGCCATCTCTTTTTCTTTTTCTTCGTTCAAAATCAACCGTATAGTACTGCGTGCGACGCGGAGATGGGGTAGGCTCAATGCGTAAGAAAAACACCCTGAGAATGGGTAACAAATAGTGGTGGCAGCTCAATAACTCCCGGGGTCGAGTGGTGTGATATGTTCGCTTTCTATGACAACTGGCAGACCTGATTACCATGCTTCTGTGATAGGAATACAATGATCACAAAACAGTCAGCACGCGGGATATAATCAACACATAACAATACTCTGTGCCATCGGCGGCAGAGAGAGGTAAGCAAGAGAAACGACAACCGTCAACCAAAAAAGAACCACATGCTCTCTTGAATGATTGAATGGATTAGGCACTCGCATTTTTTGCCCGGTACATTCCTCGAAACCTTCCGCAGCATCATCTGCATGCAGACAAGCGTCTTATGCACGGATAAGGTGGTTCTTTCGTTCTAGGTCGCTCCAAGGAAGTTCAGGCACCGCCACATGGTTTCGGAGCAATCGGGAGCGCCCTCGCTGTCTTGAAATGTCCCAGGGCCTTCAGGCACCAACTTTATCGACGGGACCAGTGACGGAGGTTGTTGGAGGGCAGGTTGGAAGAAACCATGTTGTGGCTGTGGCTAAGAAACGTGCAGGCGTCCTTGGTAGGTACAAGTACAAAAGGCTGGTGGCCGAGCTGGTCGGTCTGTTTCGGGCCTCGCTTGTAGTGGCAGTGGCAAGGCGGGAATAAAGGCGTTGCCTGGCAAGGCGAACGGTCAGGCAAGGGAGGCTGAAGTCGATGTGTTCAATCTCCACGACCCATCTTTCAACACCAAGTCCGTCAAAACATCGCTATCCATGTAGACTTCCAGAGCTGAGTTGTCGTCGAGTTCAGCAGAGCTTTATACTTTCAGTACTGCACTTGCCAGGGTCAAGCCATGCCGCCATGGCTTCGCCGTTCATCGCGCCTTGCAAGTAGCACTCGCCTACGACGACATGGCACTCTCCCTTCGGCCTGGTGACCTCAGAGCCAGCGACGCATCGCAATCCCCGACGAGCGCAATCACGTCGCCTTGCTGCGCGCGCATGACGGTCCAGACCACATGCCCGTTTTCCGTAGCCATGATGTTTCGCTTTTGCATGTTGACCGTCATCCCAAGGACCTCGCCCACATCGTTGAGCCACAGCTATAGTTGCCCTTTTGGCCCGCTGGGGTCGACTTCTGCAATTCCCGCCTGTTCAGTGTGAGCATTTCTAGAAGTGCGATCCACTCTTCTCTCGCGGCAAAGCCATCTCCAGGAATGCCTTCAGGTTGGCTTCGGCCGTGTTGGTGACAGAGCCGTAGATGCTGAAGCTGCTCTTGGACGGTATTTGGACGGTGCCATGTCGGATTGATAACTCACGCGGTCCCTGATCGAGCAGGCCAGACATCGATCGCGTCGAAAATGAAGCCAGAGTAAATGAGAATCTGGTCATCATGGGCAAAGATCGACGTTGGTACCTACATTGTTGGATGTGTTACAGGGGATCATGTCGAGGAGGGCGTCTGGAGATTGGGGAGATGCCAAATCGACCTCCAAGGAAGCCGTCTGTTTGTGAAAATCCCAACTACGCAAAGAATGCAGGACCCGAATTCATCAGACGCAGGATGTCGAGTGACCCCGTGCGCTCCTACAACAGCCTTGGTGAACTGTGTTAGACTTTCCGAGCGCGGGAGGCGATAGTCGACCGACATCCGCTACTCGACGGTCGTCGCGACGACTCCCAGAACACCGTTGACTTTGTCCTTGATATGTGATATCCTTTTTTGACGAGTCTCGGCCGATCTTCAGGACCTGGTTGAGGGGTGGCTCAGGAACAGTTCTTGAATGATCTACTGACGGTGCTAGTTAAGGGTGCGAGATGAACTTACAAATGCTCCCTACTTCTCGAGCTGTTCCTTTGATTTATTTGCAGCTCGAGGTCTATAGCGCACCCATGACATCGACAATAGACTGGGTTTCTGTTCTACACAATCTGCTACAGAATGGCGTCCGCGAGACTTGCCTCATTGTCGGCCAGGCCCGCGAGGAACGAGAGAGCCTCTAGAAACGGATTCTATCTTGTATATCTAACTTGACTTCTCATCCAGGTCGTCCTGATTTATACATACTGTGTCAGCATCAGAGCATAGCCAATAAGCTCCTGGCCTAACCATTCACATCATCCTAGAGGGAATGCGGCTTGCTCACACCGAAGGCGTCAAGAGGAATGTCCCAGGCATCATAGTAGCCGTGAACACTCGGCTCGTGGTTTCCTGCATATACAGCCTTCTCCTCTCTCCCCCGCTAGTTAGGACAATCTGTTGGTCGTATCTCGTTGCATCTATATGTAGCCATCCATTCCTCAGGATGGAAGAGCGCAAGTAAGTCTGCCGCTTCCTTCGGTCAGTTCGCTCATGTCTTCGTTTGCCAACATCTGTACCGATATCAAATTATCAGCGCGGGATCCAGTCAGAGGTATTAAGCTCAGCTATGAGTAGGAGTGTTGGAGAAGTACGGGCCAAGAACCAGGGAGCCGATGCCAGTGCTTTGAGCTCGCTCACAATGATCGAGCCTGCATGTCGCTCCGTTGCGCGAATCGGGTGCCTCCAGAAGCAGAAATAGGGGGATAACGGCGCAGGCGGGCAGAGCCAGAGCCGTCGAGCGTTAATTGGGGCTTGATGTGGTTTCGGAGGACCTTTGCTGAACGCTGAACGTCCTCCTGCCTTCGGGCTTCAGGAGAGAGTGCCTGTCGACGGGCCTCTTCCACGGCATGATGGTTAAAAACCGCTCGCCGATATTCTCGTCCTCCATCAGAATCCACGTCATGACCAATGTATACTCGGTACCTTACCTAGCGTTAAGTATATTGAGGAGTACTATCTAGATGACTCGCGAACGAAAAACAGAGCTGGTACATACTGTTTGATCCTAGAGAGGGAGTGAGGTTTCCTTTAACATGAGCCTCAGCGGAGCCTTACTAAGTACTCCCTGTCACTCGCTGTTGTCCCTTGTGCATCGCACTCCCGTACGCGGTAGACTTCTGACGCTCCAACCCTGGCCAAGTGAAGAGAGGATCTTTCTCCGTCTTCTCTCTCCGATCATTCGCTTTATACTGATGGATCATAACCTCCGGCCTGATGACCGATGTATCAATTAGTACCTCACCCTCTGCACCAATTGCCTGAGCCTGCATGTTCTCGAGTCCAATACGGCCAATTTTTATGACGGTCTCGAAACTCTCTCTCTTAACCTCGCCGATCAAAGCTCGCCCGCCACGGTAGACCTCGAAGAAGCGCCATAATTGGGTCCGAGTATCACCATTCCAGGAGACATAGACGGAAGTGGATTCTCCATCCTCGAGGGCGACGATGGCAGGTGCTTCATTTGGCAGACCGGTCCAATTGTATCGGAAGCCGCGGTAGTTTTCCACCCCGATGCCCAGGGAGCCGGAGTCCATGTACGCGTGAAAAATCGGCGAACCATCGGATTTGAACTCGGTAATGGCTCCCGCCGAGCCCCAGTTGACGAGGACGTTGCCATTCGGAAGGACTTGGGTTGAGCCTTGGGACTTGGAAAGCAGGTCGTCCGGCGGGTGGAAAGCTTGCACAATCCTAGCTTCCCAACTCTCTGTGTCGACTTCGATGATCTTGCCGCGCGAGATGTTGTAGAAGTGGACTTCATGTCCGTGACCATTTTCCGTCCCATGAGCCGAGTTGTCGTACAGACTAATGATTTCTTTAGTGCCGTTTTCGTTACGGGACAAGAAGCGGGCGTGGTGCTGAAACGCGAACTCGACTTGGTCACCCATCGTGAAGCTCGACGACTTTCCAGATAGTTGCCAGATGATTTTGCCGGTTGTTCCGTTGATCTTGTACACGGCGTTGGCATCGCGGGCGGAGATCAGGTAACTACCTTGGTCGTCCTTGTCAACGGAGTTGATGTGGAAATAGTCCCAGGCGTCCGAGCTATTGTATCCGGCCCCAGCTTGACCAGGTTTCAAGGGAAGGTAGCCCTCTGTAGTTGGTCAGCGTTATTGTCGCATTCGAGGGACCTCTTACCCGATGGGTCTACGTGGTCAAGGCTGCTCCATTCGAACAATACACTGCCTGTCTCGATGTCGAGTTCTAGCCAAGTCAGCATGGTCCTCCATCAAGGCAGATATACGGACCTTGAAATTTTGCATTAACAATCCATTGCTGCTCCTCGCTGCCTCCGTAAGGTGTCAAATTGTAGGGGATAGGATGATAGATCTGAATGAGTGCTGTCTCTTCATTAATGATGTGAAACTCATGCTTATCGGTAAGATGATGATTGCCGGCTCGGAGTTCTCGGATCGTTTCGTAGTGTCGGTCGAGAAATGTCGTATGACCATGTCCATGACCATAGGCGGCATTGTGGCTTCCTTCGAAGCAGAATAGAATATCCTTGCCTTTGTGTCGTGCGGCTTGGAAATTTGTGGCCCAAATGGAGAAATAGGTGAAGCCGGACCAGACAAGATCGCCGGTATCAGTAAAGATGTATGGTGCTGCTTGTGCTGGCCCGTGATGGGTCCCTTCAGGGTACCCAGAAAAGGGGGCAACAAAAAGGTAGCCCTTCTCAACTTCTTTTGTGGCTGGGAGAGTGATATTCAAAGTTGGTGGTGCGAGGTCTGGTCTAGACTTGTACCGCCAGTTGGCAGAGACCGGAGTAACGCACAAAAGGCTCACTAACACCCCCACTAAATACGTGCAAAGTCCTGCCTTCCGGGTCATTGTACTTGTTGCTGTGCAAGATCAGGTTGGTGTCCAGAACTGCAAGGTTAGGTCGGTGTCCAAAACCACAAGATACAGAACTTACCTCAAGCTTAAAGGAATATCCAGAATTTTGCGGGGAACAGTCAGCGACACCAGTAGAATGGTCTTGAATGACTGCATTTGAGAAGAGGAATTGTAATGTAGGAGAACACCCTCGGCACGACAGCTATAAGTGAGTGAGGGATTGGCCATTCTTCTGAGGTAAGAACGCAATCTGCATGCAATTTGCCCGTCCAAGGATCTAATGGATCGAAGGGTGTTATCGCAACCACAGCTGACACAGGATTGAGAAGAACCGAATCGGCCGCTGTAAGTTCGCTTGAACAAAGGTCCCAAAACTGCTCGATTGAGCCCGACGGACATGGACTCCGCGTCCACAGTTCAGAGTTTTCTGTTGAACTTCATGCAAGAAGACGGACATGGACTCCGTGATCGTCTGGTGTCTCATGCATGGTGAAATTCGAGTCTAGCAATGCATCATTTCGATCCAGTGATTGCTTCGAAGCTGAGACTTTGTCACCGTGGTGGCCGAGCAATGGCTTTCGACGGACAATTACAACGGTCCCTAGCGATGCGGCAAATGCACCTGCAAACTTGCAGATGTAACCCAATACATATCAAACAAACAAAAAAAAGCCTCATTTCTTTAGCTGTCCGTGATTTCGAGGCCCTCAAAATCCCTTTTTCCCTAACCATATTCTAGGGACCAGGTTTCCCTCCACGTCGAGGGCTGAGAAGTTTCGTGTCTGCACTAGAGAAGATGCTTCCATCCATTCTGTCTTTTGCCGATCCAGAAGATGGTGATTTCGACTCCCATGACGAGATTTCGACACCCAGCGAGACAACACCACTTGTGAGCAACAGCGCCGACGGGATAACTCCTGCCACAAGACATTGGGAGTCTCCGCCAGGATTTTATTGGATAGAGACAGGTCAGTGCCGGGTGGGACCTCTCATTGGTAGCCCTGCTCAGAAACTTAGCAATCTTCTCGAATGTGTTCCTGTCAGGCTTTGATGGAACAATTACCGCATCGACATATGCAGTGATCGGATCAGAATTCAACGCGGCGAATACGGTATCATGGCTGACAACATCCTACCTGATAACGAGCACGGCTTTCCAACCCCTTTATGGTCGATTCTCGGATATTCTCGGTCGGCGAACTTGTTTCTTTATAGCGACATTGACGTTTCTGCTTGGATGTCTCGGGTGTGCCTTAGCCCCGGACATCATTGCACTAAATATCATGCGAGCCCTGACGGGGTTGGGGGGAGGGGGTCTCATGACAATGGCGACAATAATCAATTCAGATATGATTCCATTCAGAGAACGTGGAATGTATCAAGCCTGCCAAAATGTGCTCCATGGATTTGGATCAATCTGCGGAGCATCACTGGGGGGGCTGATAGCGGATCATATCGGTTGGCGGTGGTGCTTCTTATCCCAAGTGCCAATATCCATTTTCGCCTTTGTCGTCGGCTATCTTGTCATCAGTAAGCACGAGCTGAAACTTGTTGCTGGTGAAGAAAACTCAGGGAGTGCGAAAAAGGCCTGTAAATGGGAACAGATTGACCTAATAGGTGCGATCCTGCTCGTGCTGGGCCTTTCAGCCCAACTTGCAGCCATGAGCATGGGCGGAAATCTCTATCCGTGGGATGATATCCGAGTCATTATAGCGATGGTCTCGAGTATTATCCTCCTGATAGTGTTCGTTCTCGTGGAATTATGGACGAAGGCAATACCGGTCCTGCCCATGGCTATGCTGAAAGGAACTCTTGCAATGTCGAATCAAATCAGCAATATATGTGTCGGCATGGCGGCATACTCGGTAAGTGGAAATGATGCAATCCGAGCCAGGGCTGAATGTCTCCGACAGTTTCTGTTCATGATTCCCTTGTTCTTCCAGGTGGTCCTTCAAGACAGCCCATCTGAAGCCGGTATGCGCCTAGTGATTCCATCGTTGGCAACTCCAGTAGGTGGTGTCATATCAGGCATCATCATGTCCCGGTGGGGAGGACTCAATGAGCTCGTCCGGGCGGGTTGTTTCTTCATGATGATAGGGAATGGCGCCGTTGCATCCCTCAAGTTCGAAGATTCACATTGGAAATATCTCTTCTATCTCTTCCCCGCCAATTTTGGTCAAGGGATGTGTTACCCCGCCATCCTTTTCACCTTTCTAGCAGCTTTCGATCATAGTCGTAAGTACGATCCGTGTAAGAACAAGGGTCATTCAGCTGACCCCGAGAAGAGCAAGCCGTGTCCACGTCGCTGGTCTATTTGTTTCGGTCAATGGGGACGGTATGGGGCGTGGCTGCGTCTTCGACATTGCTGCAAGACGTGTTGACACAGCGACTGCTTTCATCGTTGGCGGGGGTTCCTGGCAAAGAGTGTGTGAGTTCTCCCTGTAATGTTAGGCGTCAAGACCTTCTTCTCTGATGGTGAAGTCGCAGCTCATTGACGAGATTCGTCATTCGATAACCATGTTGAAAACTCTTCCACCTGATATGCAGTCGATAGCGCGTCATGGTTACTATGAAGCTCTGCGATACGTCTTTGTTGCAAATACTGCCGTCACAGCGGTTGCTTTGGTGGCTTCCTTTTTCGCTCAGGGGAAAGGCCTGCGTCGGAACTGAGGGCTGGACTGCTAGAATATCCGTGTTGAACTATTAAGCGCACTTCAGGTGTAGAATTGGTGCAATTGAGCCTATGGAATAGGCGGGGGCTGAAAAGGGGGTTGCTTTCATCCCCAACAATTCGATCCGCAAGGTACACAGAACCCTCAGTGTTCCAACTGTAGGCAATAGGTTTATCGGAATCTCTTACGAGAGACCTGTCAGTCAACCATGTTTGTGGAGAAGTGATGTTCTACGTACCACAGGTGTCAGCCTTACCTATCGAGCCCATCGCCAAATCAATAGATGGGCAGTAGAACTGGACAACGGACAAGGTATTCGAAGGTCAACTCCGTGGAAACCAAAGCTTTCATGGAAAAATGGACTCGAAACATTGTGCCTCGTTAGGACGTGAGAGAATCCAGAGGGTTCAGTGTATATTATGGTGGGACCATCTTGGACTGTGTACGAGGTAACTCGACAGCGGGCGTTGTCCGTGACAATTACTCGGTACTTTAGTGGTCATTACGCCTCTTAACACCCTTAGCAATCACAAAGATTGCGTGCTCATCGTCACGTGAACAACCATTTTCCTCTTTAACCATAAAAGGCTTTTCGTCCTCTGCCAGTTGCCCAAATCCGTCGACGTCTACTCGAGTGTCCCGGAAGAGAAAAAGAAAAAAAATAATGCTTCGACTTGGCGAGAAGAGAATATCGTAAGCCATGAATTTTCCCAACATTCCTGGGATTGCAGCAGCTGAGAAACGTACCAATTGCAGTTGCAAGCGCTGCCAGAGTCGCAAAGTGTGTCTTCGCTTAATTTCACCGACCAAGTTGATCTTACTGGCATATAGATCAAATGTTCTCGGACAATGCCCTGCCATAGCTGCACCATTGCTGGTGCTGACTGCGAATTCCGCGCCAATGACTGGAAACGGACTCCAATCTCGCGCGAGCACGTTGCTGCGCTCGAGGGCAGGATAGCAGCACTGGAATCACTCCTGTCAAGCGTCAAATCATCCCGTGGGTATGAGCGGGAGATTATCATTGAGAATATCGACATTGTCGACCGTCGACCTACAATTACAGACAGTGCTCAGGCCTCGGTCCATGCCGATGACATATTCCTACAAAGCATGAGAGGCTGTTGGGGTAATGACGGACATGGTTTGTCCTCCTATAATTTCAGGAGATCTCGACTTATTCACAGTGTAGGCTCTGCATGTTTTTATGGCCCTGGCAGTGCATTTAGCACAGGTCTGTTCGGCTTTTGTGAGCCAGGGAGCAAATTATTGAATCATCAAGCTTTCCCGACCACCCAAACCCCAGACGTCCCCGTGAACGTGCTGCATGACTGCGTCAAACTGTTCTTCGAGTGGCAATTTCCGTATTGCAATATGATTGATCGAGAGAGCTTCTTGAGGGAATATTCTAGCGGAATTGCAGCAGGTGAACATTTCGCTTCGGCCCTTTTGTATGCCGTGTGCTCTCTCGGTGCCTTGATGTCTGCAGACCAGAATATCAAAGCGCTGGCGTCGTTGTTCGCGACTTCTGCAGAAGAGGAGATATCTTCGAAATTCTGGAGGTCTCACATTACCATTTCGCAAGCAATGCTGCTCTGCGCCGTTTTTGAGATCGGAAGGGGAGAATTCGCTAAAGGATGGATGTATTCGGGTTTGGATCACTGTTCACTCCTATCAAGACGTTGCTGACATAGGATCTAAAGGCATGGCTTTTCGAATGACAGATCACCTCGGTATCCACGAATACAACCAGCTGCCTTCTCGCAAGGGCATTCAGAGTACGTGGTCCGTTGGCTTCAAGTCGTGGCGACGTATGTCTCTGACATATGCCATATCCGATAAGTCCAGACTTATCCATTTGAGAAAAGGTAGACCACACTGACTTGGATGCTAGGATGCTCAGTTTGTTCTTTGGAAGACCCTCGGCGATGAACAGGGCCGGGAACGACTTTGACATGAAGATGTCTAACTGGTCCAATTCCAATGATGCGGAGATCTTGGAGCACAGACAGATGGCTTCGATGCTCATTCCTAACACCGTACTCGATTCACAGGGCTTGCAACATCGAGATGACCCCGAAAGAACGTCAGGCTCCGGAATTTTGATAAGCATGCAGGCAGGGCTTGCAAGGATAATTGAAGATATTCAAGCTGAAGTCTTCAATTCTGACCACATTTCACGGCATGCAGCTGGATGCGGAGTTGATGCATTATACCACAAGTTCAATGCTCGACTCTGGAACTGGCATGACTCATTGCCTGGAGAGATGAGGTGGAACCGATGGAGTTCCAAAGAAGAGGATGCAGATCCTAGCCTTGCCCTTCTCCAGTAATAAGGTCCACCCTTTCTCCTTTTTTCTACTTGGCTAACGATTCCCAGCATACTGTTTCACACCGCCCGTATCAGTCTGAACAGACCACTCATAAGCCAAAAGGGCATGAAGAGTCCATCCGCACAGATCCCTAAGATTGTATCCGACGCGTTAGGTATTTGCAAGGATTCAGTCGACACAATCGTCCAGATCATCCGTCGTTTCAGAACATGGCATACGCTCCGAACTGCGTCATTCGCATTTGTTCACGGCGCCATTATGGCGATAGACGCTGCCATTATAATTATTTCCTGTTCTGAGACAGACAACGCCTTATCGATGAAAATGAATGCCGACCCTTTGTCGACATTGGATACAGCATTGAATGATTTGTCTCACACATGGGCTATTGCTCAGGACGCAAGGAGCCGATTGCACGAAATTATCAATGCGTCGCAACTTGACCTTGGAATGATCAATGAGACTCCCTTGGGCCATGTCTCCGCGTCCACCGACTTCTGGTCCGAGTGCTTGGATATTCATGCTGCAACCCCTGAACCGATGTTCTTCCCTTGCGCTCAGAGAGCATCGCAAACACACCACACCACTCAAAGGCGGCCCTCTTTATATTCCGAATGCCTAATGGCCACCAGCCTTGAAGACGCTTCGGGGCCTCTCGACTGTGGCATGGATTTCAATTCTGCCCCTTGGAATTCCTTAGCAACAAGCGAGAGCGGCATGGCATTTAATCGCTCCTTGAAGCACCAATAGCGTAGAGAGCGGAGATCCCCAAATGGGCACGGCCAGGGGAGATCTCAGTTACATCAGATATCGTTCGCCTGAATATCGGCAGATGAAAAGCATATCCATTACACTAGAGTAAGCGACCAAGATAGACTGCTGAGACTACAGAGCGATCTTCAAGGCATTCACGAAAACTTCCCGACTCTACGAGATCCGAAGAGCATCGACGTGGCCCACCAAAATTACAGAGATTGACCATGGGACTACTTAGGGAGTTTAATCCCTTGGACGTTTCTCTGTAGGTAAAACAGGCCATCTTTTGGCCATGCTCCTATTATGTGGACAAATAGACTCATCGGGGTGCGTTTTAACACTCACCCTTTGAGCTGCGCTGGCCAGGGCGATCCTACTGCTTCTATTTTATCTGCACATTCGCCCCCACGGCTATCGCGCCAGCGCCTCAGAATTAGTAATTGTAGGACTCTTGAAATTGAACAATGCGGCACGTTGTCTGCGCATGCGAGGGACATTAAAGCCATGGTTGTAAGAATGGACTAGCTTGGGTGGAATAGCGGAAAGCCCAAGAGAGACAAAAGAAGGCAGATTTAAGATGCAGAAGCAGCCTCCTGTAGCATTTCTTTCGTGCTCCAACAAATTCCATCCTCGGAGATTGTGGCATCCGCCCGATTCTCTATCTTCTTGAGCTGCTGTTCCAGCGATGCGGACATTGATGCCCCCTCCGTCGGCGGTGGGCTATGAAGTCGACTGCAAAGCAATTTGCTTCAGATGATGGTCAACACAGATTTCAGGTCATTTCGCTATGGCGGGTGTCCACCGTTCAACTCTTTTTTCAGAAAGCGAGATCTTTAGCTCTCCTTCGTCCTCGGTGTCTGTGCTGGGTGTTGACATCGTGCGGCTAGAAGTCGATGAATCAACCTCACCAGAAGCCCAGTGGCCAATGGCAAGCCACCGCAGTCGCTCTCGTTCAAGACAAGAGGTGGTCAACAGCTATGGCTTGCTGGTGCTGCTGGTGCTGCTGATCGGGGACTATGCATAACATACCCAGTAGAAGCGCCCTGGAAGTGTCGCCCTGGGGGGCCATCTACTTGTAGTCCCACCGCGGACAACGTAGCATGGTGCTCTAGACTAAATCTGGTCTAGAGCCGGATACCAAGAGACAGAGCTCAAGAGATCTGTCCCACTGAAGTTCCAGGGACTTTATCAAATGGCGGTTGATACAGAGTAAATTGAGCTATAATCTCTAAAACTGAGGTCAAAGGGGATGTAGTCACTGTATTTATGGATTTCGAAAAGGCACCAAAAAGGTCATGCACGGTGGTACAAACACAACATGGCTAACAGCGATCCAGCGACTTGGCTCTTGTTCGTATGATGGTCAGCGTACCGAGTCCAATGGGCAATACGATTCGATCTATCGCCATGGCACCACAAACGGAACAGATGAACTTCGTGTTACTTTCCCAACTCGGCTGAGCAGGACTCGAAGGCCAAAACTTGGTAATCAGCGGCGCCATGATCTGCGTCATCCTTGATGAGATGGTCGGAAACCCCTGGACCGTGAGACTCGTTCTTCACCGTTAGGTTGAAGGCCATGTAATATGCCCTGGTACCGACGTCAAATGAGGCGCTCGTGAGGTGCTGGCTCTGGAAAGACAACAGCGCCAATGACTATCGAGAGCTCAAATCATCGACAAGGACGGCAAGGTCATGACGGAAGCCAAGGCCATGTAGGTGTTGATGAAGAGGAAGAAAAAAAAACCTGTGACGCCGCGCCACTACCGCCGGCATGGTACGTTTCCTGCTTTGAAAGATTGGGTGTTATTTGCCCAACTTGTCAAAGAGAGACGTGCATTCGAACCGACAGAACCGCCTGATTTTGGAGACTCCGCTGTTGTACCCATGAGCTCGCAGCGACCTCGTTCTGCAACTCGGGTTCTAGCTCATCCACCCACCAGCCGATGTCTCGGCGAGATTGGGAAGTTCGACTCGCGAAATTATGGGTGGATTTTGTGTGGATCTACGCCAGAAGGTAGAGGCTGCGTGGGATTTGACAAGTTGTTCCCGGCTCGCGGTCTTCAAACAAGGACCGTTCAACCTTGTTCTAGCAAGACGAATGGGATGAACGAAGTTTGTTCAGCTGGACACGGGCAGGCAATTGCCCAATCATCATACGGCCGGGAGACACTCGCTTGGAGGACGCAGCCAGACACGATCGGTAAAGAGGTTTCGTTGCTCTCCTTCGTTCGAGAGGCGAGAGACCCAACAAGATCGCAATCAGCGTCCCCAGACTAATATACAACATCGACGATAGCCCTGATTGAGGAAGCAATATATCATATGATCTCCAATTCCTGGCACTCTTCCTCTGCAGTTTTTGGGCCACGCCGGAAATTTGCACACAAGACGCGCTGAGAGCTTTTGCCATATCCTTCCGGATGGGAACTATGGGTGAATGAACATCCCTGATGGCGCCATTCGCCCTTCGTCCATCCAGGCATTCGCTTGTGTTGCCGACCCTGAGGATCTCCAAGCTCTCTAGGTCAATTTGGCAATCCTTTTCCTTGGTATCTTTTGCGTCAACGATACCTTCCCACCAAACCAGTATGCGTTGGTTGAGCGCCAATCCAACCCATGCTGTCAGATCCCGCGCCGTAGCCCTTTTTGTCTAACGAAAGCTATCGAGGTTCCAGATCGCTTCCCAGTTTTGCACGTGGTGCGTCCAAGCGAACGCGAAGTCCCAGCTTGGTAAACGCCCAATTCTTCTGAGAGTCGATTCCTTATCAACTCAGCATCACGAAATGATTCCCAGAGATGTCGTGCCACCGTCATCCATGGACCAGCGTTGCAAGATGTACGGCTGGAATGTCGCAATACAGCCAAGATCGGCTATACCATGCAGACGTCTGCAAAGTAACCACCCCCCTGCCGCCCGAGTGCAGGAGGCCTCTGACCCCTCCAATGTGTTCAAATACCCCGTCGTCTGGCCAGTTTCCGACCGTGTCAAGGAAACACTCTCCTCGTTGAAGCTCCCAGGATGGCGACCGTTTTTACTCAACCTCCACTGAAAGAGAAAGAGGGAGCCGTTGTCACTACGGGGACATTAACCAGCAGCCCCTCGGATTCGAAGGAGAATGTTCATGTATCAGCTACTGGACTCAATCTCGGCGTTCCTGCCAATGAAAAAAAGTTCTGGTGGCAGAGAGGTCGAGGTTATGACCCCGACGCCATCGCGACGCTGCCCTCTGTATTTGACGACCCGGAAACCGCCAAACACTATCAGCCTCGTGCTGACTGGGAGAATCTCCGCCGATTTGATCCTTCGGCAAGATGGACATGGCGGGAGGAGTATGCCGTCCTGCGAAAAATCGACATCCGGATCATGGTCTTTGCCTGTATCATGTTCATGTCCTTGGAGTTGGACCGATCGAACTTGACCCAGGCGGTCACAGACAACTTCCTCGGCGACCTAGGGATGGACACAAACGGTACGTTGCGTCCACAGCTTCGGAGAACTATGTGCTAAATGTGTACAGATTACAATTGGGGGAACACCGTCTTCAAGCTCAGCTTCCTTTGTGCCGAACTGCCATCTCAACTTATTTCCAAATGGATGGGCCCTGACCGCTGGATACCCACTCAAATGATTCTTTGGTCCATCGTCGCCGGCTCGCAGTTTTGGCTGTCCGGTCGAGCAAGTTTTCTTGCTTGCAGGGCTCTACTTGCGCTTTTGCAGGGTGGATTTATACCCGATGTATTGTTCCCCTATTCCTTTGGTGGAGGGAGACTGACGTTTCGCCCCAGATGATCCTCTACCTCTCATATTTCTACAAACACGGTGAGCTCTCTCTTCGGCTAGGATTCTGGTGGACAGCCATGTCAATAGCCGATATCATTGCCAGTTTCCTCGGGGCGGGCTTACTTGACCTCCGAGGACACCTTGGCTACGCCGGTTGGAGGTGGCTTTTCCTCATCGAAGTGGGACCTTGACTCTACCTGTCACCTTGAGTTCGTCGCTGACTGCCTCGCAGGGCCTTTTGACTTTCGTCCTCGGACTTATTGCATTCATGTTGATGCCTCCCGGACCTTGTCAAACTGCCAACTGGGCGAGAGGGAAGAAAGGATGGTTCACGGAGCGGTAGGTGTTGAAATCCGCCAATCCTTTTTGATACCCTTCAAAGCTGAGGGGATTACAGTGAGGAAACCATCATGGTCAACAGAATTATCCGGGAAGACCCCAGCAAGAGCACTATGCACAACCGACAGCCCATCACTCCGAAGTTGCTTTGGCACAGCTTGACGGATTACGATTTGTGGCCGCTGTATCTGATTGGGTTGACCTTCCAAACCCCAATGAGTGAGTCGCCCCCCTTTATCGACAACACCGGCCCTGGACTGAGATTTTAGCGACTCCTACTCAATATTTGACCCTGTCTTTGAAACAACTGGGATTCGGCACGATCAAGACGAACTTGCTCGTGGTCCCATCCACCGTAGGCCACATCATTATGATGCTCCTCTTCACATACCTCGCCGAGGTTGTAGGTCAACTTTGGATCTTCGGTCTGCTCGCGCAGTTGTGGGCCTTGCCTTTTCTCTCTTACATCTATGCCATCGACATCAACTCGATCAACAAATGGACCGCATTTGGCATCATGACTGTCCTTCTCTCGTACCCGAGCACCCACGCTATTCAGGTCGGGTGGAATTCCCGCAATTCAAACTCGGTTCGAAGCCGCACCGTCAGTGCTGCGATATACAATATGGCTTGCCAGAGCTCCGGTATTATCGCAAGCAATATCTACCGTCAAGGTAAGTTTCAGCTGATACCCAGGGGGACCGCAGTGGGAATTCCTCACTCACCCGTTTTACTAAGATGATCGACCCCGCTACCGGCGTGGAAATCGTGTTCTTGTGTCCCTTTGCGTGTTAAACGTTGGGATCTACGCATTCGCCAAAGTCTACTACGTTTTGCGCAACAGGAATCGGGACAAAGTCTGGAACAGCATGACGGAGGATCAGCGTATTGAATATCTCGCCACTACGACGGATAAAGGGAATAAGCGCCTGGACTTCCGTTTCGCCAGCTGAAGGCGACTTGAAAATGTAGAACGGGGGGGTTGGTAGACATCTAGGGACGAGGATGAAGACCGAGATGCAAGAGCTGCTATGTCAAGGGGGGCTGAGGTACAGTGCACCAGTCGTTGGGGATCCTGGAATGTAGGCCACGCTCTGTAGAATTGTCCTCTTGATTTTGAACATTTTGCTATACGAGTGATAAGAGACGGCACGAACGAATGAATTTGCTTGCTTGTAGAAGTTTTGTCCCGGATTCGCTCCACTTACTGACCATTCGACCACCACCATTTCCCTTGGAGACCATGATCAATCTTTTCTTTCTGTATTTCTCTGTTCTCACGCGAACCGAGATCACATAATACGAGGCGACGGAAACGTGGCACGACCGGCGGGGAGAGCCCCCTCTCCTAGGGTTGGATGAAATGCCGCTAACATTCCCGTCCTAGCGGCAAATGATTCGTTGGTGCCGAACTACATGTGTACAAAACCCACAAACACCATCCCTGAAGCTCGCTCGTTTCCCACGCACATGTCTATCCTCGGGCTGATCCTGTGAAATATTCCGCATATGTCCCCTCCTTTGAAGCACGGCGAATACCCGCCCGACAACACCACATTGCGATATCTCGATCTGATATGTCGTCTTCGTTTGACCATGACTAGTGGTGCAATATACACTTCTGCTGACGCGATCCTCAACCAGTGCTTTGTCCTACTTGGATCTGTATAAGATCTCTCGGGCTATCGCGCCATGTATTCCAGAAATGATGTGAACCTCTTTCCCCCCGCACCCGCGCGATAATGGGGTATCAGTTCGCCGGATATTCGAAGTCTAGCTTCTTGTTGTGCTACGATTGGGTGGTATCAGTATGAGGAATGGAGAATGGGCTGAAGAAGTGAAATTTTAACGTGGGACTCGGTACAAGCCGATGAATGTACATTCGTCTGTTTGTCCCCAGCGTGCGGTTTGATATGTTTCCGTCACTCGGGACCAAGTGATAAGGTGCCATTCCATAATGAAAATACATCATCAAACCTCAGAAGTCTGAGCACGAACTAGAGAAAACGAAGAGAGTGAGGAAGCAAACGGCATCTCGGCATCGACGCGAACGACCTGGCAAGGAGAGACCTCGCCCCTCGTCTTCCCGTTCCAGATGAACCGCCTATATCAGGCGAGTCGTTGCCCCAGCACGTTTGTCTCCCTTCTTGTTTTCCATCTCACTTCTTGATTCAGAAGAGCGCCCGCAACTCCCACACCAAATAATCATCGCGGCCATATCGACCGAGCTCTGAGTTTCACTTGGCTTGCGATCATCATGGCTCCTCCCGCAGCGGATGTTGATCTCTTCTCGCACACGAGCAATGGGCCCATCCCCATAACCAAAGTCAACGCCCAAAGCCGCCTGAGAGAACCTCTGAAGTACTCCGGCTCCCTCGACCAGTATCAATCCTTCGACGTCACAAAGGTCATCGGGAGGGAATTCCCGGACTTGCAACTGAGCGAGATCCTCCACGACGACGCAAAGATTCGCGATCTGGCCATTACGGGTTCGTGATGCGTGTACTCCCTCTTGATGGTTACGTTTGCGTGCCGAGGTGTTGTCGTCTAGCTAATTACCGCCGGCCGGTTTCGTTCCAGTGTCTCAACGCGGCGTCGTCTTCTTCCGCAATCAGAACCTCAACATTGAAGACCAAAAGATCTTGGGGACCAAACTTGGCGAACTCACCGGAAAACCCGAGACATCCAAGGTAATTTATTGATTGACTTATCAATCAGCTCTCCTTCGCACCCTGTGGAAACGATTGTTATCCGTTGGTGCTGACCGTTCGATTTTTTCGAATCCAGCTTCACCGTCATGCGTTGAGCAACAGCAAGAGGGGCATTGCCGTCGATGAGAACGGGAAACTCGACGATGAGGTCTCGGTCATTTCCTCAGAAGTATGTTTTCCTGCACTCAAAAAAGCTGCACCGATGAATGGACGTTTCCTATGCTGACGACATCCCGACAGCAAAACCGCAAGTTCTACAAGGATCGCTTCACCGCCCACTCCAAGGTTCTCGCCAGTCAGGGTTGGCATGCCGAGTAAGTTGCGTTAATTACTGTACCTAGTTGTCTCATTGTTGTCCGAAATCGCCGCTTGCCTTATCAAGTGCTCTGATTGACCTCCCCCCCAACTGACTCGATTTTTAGCATCACGTTCGAACGCATCCCGTCCGACTATGCCATTCTCAAGATCATCAAGAAGCCCGAGGACGCCGGGGGCGATACCCTATGGGCATCCGGCTACGAGCTTTACGACCGACTGTCACCCGAATTTCAGAAACTTGCTGAGAGTTTGACGGCCACACACCACCAACCAAATTTCGTGAAAGTCGCCAAAGAATTTGGCGAGGATCTGATTGAACAGGACCGTGGGGCGCCTGAGAACACGGGCATTGATTTCACTGCCTCCCAGTAAGTGACTGGACCTAACCCAAGTATCCTACCCGGACTTCCTGCTCTGTTCTACTTTTTTCCTTCACCCAAAAAAGAACCAAAACCGGAATCGAATTAGAACCAGATCCAGGCCTGATAATCCTTTCTTTGTGCCTTTGTGAACATATGTGCTTCGCTGACTGGCTTCCTTTATTTTAAAACAGCCCGGTGGTCCGCACCAACCCCGTGACCGGCTGGAAAAGCCTCTTCGGCGCCGGCCACCAGATCGAGCACGGCTGGATCGACAACGTGACTCCGCGCGAGAGCGAGATCCTCAAGGCGTACTTCCTCCAACTCATCACCGACAACCACGACCTGCAGGTCCGGTTTCGATGGAACGAGAACGACCTTGCCATTTGGGATAATCGCTCCGTCTTCCACACCGCGACGAACGACTACGAGGGCAAGAGGCAGGGGAATCGCGTCGTGTCGCTCGGTGAGAGGCCATATTTTGATCCGAAATCTCTCTCGCGCCGACAGGCTCTTGGGATTCAGGCGTGATCATGTCAGCCTGTCTAGATAGTTCGACCAGCTTGTCAGTAGGTTGACAGATAGGTAGTAGTTGATCAATCCAACCACTGGCCACGCACATTGTTGGCCGACGCATTGATTGATTGGGAGAAGCTCGAAATATGCATCTTGACCCGATCCCATGTTGACCTGAAACGCTGGGCCTGGAAACCTCGCCACATATCGCCCCGTCTACAATGATCAATCCTGACCTCTCCAAAATCCATCTCCGTTTCCAGCGATGGGTATCCGCCATTCGATCTGAGACACGACTACCTAGGTGCCATGGGAGTGCACTGATGAGCTGCCTACTCAAGTAAACGCACTCGGGCTCGACCGAAGCCCTCACATGCAAGAGGACGAATCGCCACACGCAATAAGAATTCTTCGTCGTCCACGAATTGGCTACTCAAGCATCGTTTTGATCGCTCAGGTGCTTTTCTTTCTTGAGGAAAAAAAAGACTTCACGAATTCCCGGAGACATCGGGTCTCGAAGCGTCCAGCTATGGGTCAACGGTTTGCTCTTTCGACATTTTGACTTCCATAGCCGCCGAATCTGGTCATTACCGCCATTGTGAGCCACAACGTCCGATGAACACACCTCCTAGAGTGAAATTCGAGGCGCTGCGCTAGTCTCCGCAAGAAGCTACCAAGTTCGTTGTCGAAATTATGATGTGCGATGTCGTGGTCGTCTGACGGGCTGATCCTGTCGAAGTGATGAGAGAGAGCCGTCCAAGAATAGTTCAGGGGTTTAAGAAGTGACTGCGTGTTCCAGTTAGAAGCGGTAGAATCCATGTTTTTGGCGTTCAATGGTATGGCCATGAGTGAACGGCACGCCCAGGGACCCACCGAGCAAACTGCTGCCGAGTCCATTCGTGAGGCCTTTTAGCGCCTTGGCACCTGAGTGTCTACCAAGCGACGCGAGTTCTGTCAGCTTTCATCACTGTCATTCTAGATAGTTACCTAGTTGCTCAATAGCATACCCCTGCGTGACCACGGCTAGCCATGTCATACAAGTCCTCTTCCCCCTCCCTGACATGAAAATGTGTTCCCTCGTCTTGCCGGAATATCCCCAGGACGTCCGAGGGCGTGGGAAGACGACGCCAGGATAGGGTTCACAGCTTGCAGTCATGGTAGCTGATCAGAGAGGAAAATACTATGGGTGAGTAGTCTAGTGTTTGAAAGTGAATCATAGGTGATCGTTTGGTATCTGCCCATCGATTGAGGAACGAATGGCTACCTACCGAGGACAATGACATGCCGGTCTTGGGACATGTCTTCCGCAGCACTGATACAGCAAGAACAGGTTGGGCCGAATTCTCGATTTGCTTCAAGCGGAGACGGCGCTCTATATCCTTCGGCGTGGAATCTGATTTGTGCCTCTGGCGCGACTAAGAAGATGCTAAAAGACCACCAGTGACCGGAATCTAATAGTCGCTTGGAAGAAGCTGTCCGGACCCGCATAAAAATCCTAATCTTGAGTGTTGGCTTGCTCGTGGGACCCACACGTGCTACATCTGGCGCGTTGCGTCCAATGACATATATTGGGTCGTTCCATCTGTTTAACGTCATACGTTCGTGCAGCTAGCGTTGGCAAATGATGGCAGCCCCATTCGAGGGCAACTTGTGGAATCAAGCGGCCTGGCGTAGTTGATGCAAATCCCTCCTGATGGTCTGTCCGACTGCTTGCAGCTACTCGATAGCATGAACAGATGAGACCCTGACAAGCCCTTGCCGGGAATCTCAATCCCTTCACCGTCGCTACCAAGGTTTTTTGTCGCAGCTCCTGCAGCTAGGAGAAAGTTGGAGAAATTTGCCTCGGTAAAGAGCGGTTTCTCGAGTGGGTTCGCTTCATGAGCATCCGGCCATTTGGCTGTGAAGAGGATATTGTGCTCGATCATCGATTCGTTGAAGAGACACAGGAAGCGGTCGTCCTAAAAGTTGAGGGAGAGGCTGGGCCCGGCCCGAGACTGGTCTGAAGACACCTGAGCCAAACGGCAATGTCACAGTTCCAAAGAAAAATGTGCCGGAAAAGTGGGATGCGGGTGACCGAGTCTACATGGGACAAGATTGCATAGTGCCTAGAATAGATAGATGACGGAATTGGACGAGCCTGCGGCAATGAGACTAAAGCTGAATAGACGCCGCGGATAGATCTCGCGAAACAACAACAGAGAATCAAGGTATTTAACACGGAAGGCTGCCGGAACACAGGTCTTTGTCAGGCTGGCCAAAACAACAGATGGGCATGCGTGGTACGGATGGGCCACAGTTGGAATTGATGAATTGATTAGTCTGTTGATATCGACTGAGTCGCTTAAGACTCCTTCAAGCGACGAGGCTTGCGGGCGTAATATTACAGTCTGCGGTTAGTATCTTGGCAGCCACGACATCGACGACCACGACGACGTACTCGGCAATGCCACGAATGGTTCTGCTCGTCCCCGCACAGACCCCGTCTCGATCATAACGCTTCCGCGTCGATCGTCTGCCACGTTTTCCCTCTGAGAGTAAACCACTTCTCTGGGATATGATCAAGACTTTGTGAGCGCCAAAAATGATTATTAGAAGTGTTGTTTGGAGACGCGCGACGGCCGGTGCAGACGCGGCGCTTCGGCGTGTAGGCGAGCCAGCTTGGTTCGTAAGAATGGTGCAGACCACCTATGCCCGACCGGCGGAGACCTGGTACATTTGGAAGAGCATGGGGAGGATCATGAGGCATCTGAGCCTTGACTTGGACGTAATTGGCTTGGTGGTCCGGATTAGAAGGCAGGGCTCAGTGCTCCAGCCATGGGATAGACGATTGGTCATCGGCCACCTCAAGGGGGTGTGTTAATGGACCATTCATTCTTTCGATGAGACCATTCTTGATCTTCAAGATACCCTAAGATCAAAGGCCGTACCGACGGCGAAGACGGCACGGGGGATTCAGCGACTTCCACGACGAGCCTTGCAGTGTACATGGATGCCAAAAGCCGGAATTTGGGTTCTTCGTCATGATGCTTTGTCGTCGAGAGTCATCTTCTGGTGCGGACTTCTCAACTTCTATCCCCGGCCAATGGAATTCGAGAAGCTATTGGACCAGGGGCGTAGGAAAAGGTTTTCTTCCGTATACGACATGGCTATCAAAGATCAGAAACAGACAATTTCACGGTCGGGCTCAAGATGCATACAAGTGCACATTGGCGTGATGTGCTGGATTAGACATTTCTTGCCTGGCCTTTGCAACAATGGCACTTAGCTCAGTTGCAGGACGACCTAGGATCTTCGTGAAGCCTCGGAGGAGAAAGGAGTCAAAGCCCTTGTCCATATTCGCAAGCTCAAACATTCCAATGTGTTTGAGTCGCACGTCTTGCTCCCTAAAAGCAAATCAGTCAAGGTGGACTGACACAAATGGTGTATTCGTACCATGGCCCGATGGGTATTTTAAAAATATGTTCCTGAATTTCCTCAAATCCGGCCTCCAAGAATTGATCTCTCCAATGTTCTTGCGCGTCCAGTGGCGTGCACATCTTCTCGCCTATATCGAACATCAAGTTGGCCGATTCGGCAAGATATGATGTCTTCAGGTCTAAACTCCCGTCCGCGCAACATGTCCGTGAATGGGTCATTGAAAGCTCCAGATAGCCGCCGGGTTTAAGGTGGTCGTAGGCCTGTTTGATCAGGCGCGGCCAGTCCCTGATGGAGAGTAAGAGCTCTCGACCAAAAATGAAGTCAAATGAGCTCATCCCAAACAGCCAGTCATCCTCAATATCGTCGATCTCGAACTGGCAATTCGGGGGTACCCAGGTTTGTTGTACAGGAGCAAGATCTATGCCAATGACATGTGCCGAAGGGTATCTGTCGGCCATGTCCATGGCCCAGATACCCGAGCCCGTGCCGAGATCCAAGAGCTTCTGAGGTGATTCGGCGATAGGAGCCAAGTGTAGTTTGTCGCCCAAAAGGAGATTGAACTTTTTATGCTGCAAATCGTTGCGATCTTGTTCTTGTTCGTCGATCGGCATGCCTTGCATGTTCTTCCCGTAAGACGCATAAATTCGGCCATTTTCGTAGACTCCTTGACGGACGGACATGGGCAATGACGATAAATATGATGAGCTTGATGAGCGCCCATAGCCTTCATCCTCAAAATCGCGGTCAACGGAGATGGCATGGGTTTCGTCCAAAAAGGACATGATTCCTTGGGTGATGTGGAACATGTGAACAATCAGATGGCCCATAACCAGAGATATCAACGAGATGTCGTGGAAGACAATTTTTGCAATTGGGACCCTCGCCAAATGAGGCAGAATGCCATGTAGGAAACGAAGTCAGTCAGGTCCAACACCCCAGGTTTTATGGAAGATATGGAAGGCTATGGAGGATGGCGGTTGATGCCACGCTGCGCACCGCCAAAGCGCCAGGGTGCTCGTCACTATTGGATTACATGGGTTGCTATTGTACGAGCTACAGTATCACAGAGTCCTGTGCTGAGCTAATTGCATGGCAATGCGGAGCTAGGATAAGGGTCGCATTCTGCGCATTTCCATTTCCCCTTTGACTCAAACCCCTTGCTTGCTTCGAGTGGGGTTGGTCCCGTCACGATTGCCGGATCGGCAATAGGCTGTCCGGGAAGCTAAAACACCCCTGTCTCTCCAGGGTTCGCAGGTCTCGCACTCCTTCTACTTCGGGATTCTACGTATTCCCCCTCAATTTGGGGTGCCTCATCGGGAAGAATCATCGGAATTTGATTGTCCAAGCACCCCGAAGGATTTTGGCAGCAGGATACACGCCCCTCTGTACTTAATCTACCTTGGTCAACCCTGGTGTGCTCCGCGGGAATTGGGTCCGTTCCCCACCCTGAGCGGAGAGCCAAAGACCGCGGAGGCGGATGGATCTTCCCGACCGCCACTACGAAGATCACATTTGCGCCGTTCATACCCAGTGGTCTTCTACCTTCCGGACCGAGATGCGCGGCATGGGCGAGCGCGTCGAACTGTCTCTCTTTATTTTAGAGAAAGTCTTCTCCGTCACGATACGCGAGTTTGGCTCGGCGCTAGCCCCAAGGGAGGAGTAGATGAGGTGGACCATGCGAGTATCGTGCAGCGGAATGGAGCGGAGTATGTTCCTAACGACGATATATAAGGACAGCAAAGAATCTAACAATCTGGGACATCAGGATGCGCTCTAGAATGCCTGCGTCCAGCTGTTCAAGGATCATCCTGTTGTAAAATGTTGTCCAGAGAAAAAGGCATGACGTGGAAGTTGGCTGTGCTTCGTCCCGGGCATCAGTATAAATCACTCATCTTCGTGTCCTCTCCTTTTACAAACTTCAGCGGGTCGGCCAAATTCACCCAGCCAAGGTACGGCTCGCTGATTTCGTAGCCAATCTTTCTTTGGACAAATTCGGGGTATTGGAGTAATTGTTCTCGAGGAACCGCCAAATATTGATTCTCCTCCTAGAGAACGGTTAGGATGTTTACCAAAAGTGTCAATTTCGGAGAGAAAGGTTAGGAGGAGATCAGAGGCTCGAACGGGCGCACACTAACCTGGCGCAGATATCCTTTGATCATAAAGTGAATATACACCAATCTTTCCTCGTCCGTCGTCTTGTTCGCAGATCCGCCATGGTAGCAGGAAGCCAACATCATGAAGGCATCGCCAGCCTCCAACTCTGCGTAGACAGAGTCTTGCTCGTTGGGCGGATCTATGGTCGCCTGGAGATGGCTTCCAGGTTGGAATCGTGTGGCTCCGTTCATCTTTGTCGTCTTGGTCCCTGCAAGAAATAGCCCGACGCTTGTGTCTCTTCCAATTTGATAATTGTTGGCCGTGATAGCTGGATTGCTCACATGATGAACCATATCATCCCGATGAAGCGGCTGTGCCTTACCACCTGGGCGGATCGCAATCACAGCGCAAGAACTAAGCTGAGGGCGAGAAACGCATTCGTGGAGCCTATCACCAGTCCATGATTTAGTAGTTGTGGTGAGAAGAGTTTCATAGACACCGCGCCACAGATCGTGGGCGAGAATGTCCTTGCAGAAGGTTGGTGATCTGGCCGCGAGACCTTGGGCTTTCCGGGTGTTCTTGGAAAAGAATTCGCCCTCATAGCCCTCATCTGCATCAAGGTATGGTCGAATCTCCTGTTCGAGGGCGGTCAGGGTGGACTTAGAAGCAAAGTTCCGAACGATGACACCCCCATCACGACAAATCGCCGCAACGAGTTCCGAGGGCGTTGTTGAAGAAGCATTATATTCAGACAATGTTGGCTTGGTTTTGTCCTCGGGCTTGATTTTGACGGACGACTCTCCAGTTGGGACTATTGAGTCCATAGTGGTCACAGTTGAACTCGACATTGTGTCGGTGGCTTGGGATGTTGAATTGAGACTGCGGTCGGCACCACCTGAACAATAAGGCAAATACCTTCCGAGGTTCATCAATGTCTAGTCAGCTGTTTGGGATTCGCAAGTCTCAAAAGCGGGGCCCTCGCACTCCTACTGAATTGGGCGAGGATGGCTTGGTCTTCAGATCGCAGCACCCAGTAAGCGACCGGTTCGCCCCACCGGGGGCGCCATGATTAATCGCCACTAGTCCTTTTACCTTGCGCAGGGTGTCCGGGGATGCCCGGAAGGGCGATAAGCAGAATGGACGCTTCGGCCCTGCGGGGAAGCTACTGTAACGGCCAAAGCAGTCTAGCGGCGATACCTACTTTATCAGTCCCCCAGGCCCTGCTCACCATGCCAACCATTTAGCCATGCCCATCCGTTCTCCCCCTCAGAATACAAACTTTGATTTATCTTCCTGGCGTTCGTCTTAGGCCCAAAAGCATTTGCAAACTCTATTATCACCTCTGGTTTCTGCTTTGTTTGCTTGTCCCAAGTGCGAGGCAAGAGAACCGCGACAGGCTGGCCTACTCACACTCACACCGTCACTACCACCACCATGTCGGACCAAGCTTCAAACCCACAGACATTCACGACTGGAGCGGGCGAGAAAAAGGCAACCTCCTCAGTCGCCGCCTACAGTGGTGGTGAAGAGAGCCAGTCGAAAGCAATCATAGAGCAGCCATTCTCGTTGTTGTCACTTCTGGGCATTGCTTATAGCGTCACCAACACTGCTATTTCGCTCATCATCGGCCTGGCCAGCGGCGCCTATATGGGCGGCGCCCCTCTTTACGTATGGGGAACACTCTTGATGGGCTTCGTGGGATTTTGTGTTGCCATGAGTCTCGGAGAACTCGCCTCTGCCATGCCACACTCTGGTGGTCAGTATTTCTGGGTCGCCCAGCTTGCGCCACCCAGAATTCGGCGTCCGCTGTCGTATTTGACGGGCATACTCTCGTGGGGCGGTGCTGTTTTCACGGGAGCCTCCGGCAGTCTCACAATCCCATTGATGATTTTAGGCATGGCCAGTCTCAGGAATCCCGACTTTGAGTACAAGACGTGGATGGGCTTCGTCGGCTTCCAAATCACGACATGGGGAATATTCTGTCTCAACTTGTTTGAACGCCTGCTTCCATACCTTGGGAAAGCCTGCCTCATCCTTCCCGTGACAACTTTCATCATCATGTTCATCTCCATCCTCGCCCGATCAGAGAAGCAGTCCGCGGAGTTTGTGTTTACGGAAATCAGGAATACGTCCGGCTGGAATGACGGAATTGCTTGGATGATCGGCATCAGCGCCATCCACTGGTGCTTTTCCTGTCTCGACTCGTGCACGCACATGGCCGACGAGATCCCCAACCCGGCAAAGAACATCCCAAAAGTGCTCTTGTGGACTGTTGGCCTTGGCTTGTTGACTGGCTTCCCGTTTGCAATCGCTATCTGGTACGCCGTCAGCGACGTAGATGGTCTAGTAGCCACATTTGTTCCCCCAAGTCTTCAAGTCTTCTATCAGGCTCTGCGCGGCAACACCAACGGCGCCCTTGGTATCGAGAGTTTACTGGTCGTCTGCAATATCGTGGGTGTTGCTGGCATCCATACCTGGCAATCTCGCCTCGCCTGGGCCTTCAGTCGTGATCATGGTTTCCCTTTCTCACGCCATCTCGGAAGTGTCGCCCAAGCTCCATTCCGAACTCCGCTATGGGCGCATCTATGGTCTTGCATCTGGACGTCGATCCTTGGCTGCCTTTACATGGGATCTCCTCTGGCATTCAATTCCTTCGTCAGTGGTGGAATCGTTTTGCAAAACATTACCTACTCCACGTCAATCATCTTGCTCCTGTACCATGGCCGATCGAAATTCGCCCATGGGTCTTTCTGGTTCCCACGCCTCGGTCTCTTTTCCAACATTGTCGTGGTAGTATGGTCGACTGTTTCAATGGTGTTTTACTGCTTCCCTTATTACCTGCCAGTGACCGCGGTGGGGATGAACTATTTGGCGCCCGTCTTGGTTGTGATGTTCTTGTACGCCGGGGTGTATTGGTTTTTGTACGGGAAGAAGTATTATCAGCTACCACCTATGATTGCACACTCTCTGAATGACCAGTGATCAGCTACTGGATGTACCAAGCCGCAGATAGTGGATAGGGGTGATCGATCTCCGAGCCGGGGCTCAGTGTATTCCATTTTGGATTAGTTTAAGCGGAGTGGCATATCTTCTGTCGTATATGAGTCGTTAAACGGAGCTTTGGTATATAGTATTCATTAGTATCCATGTTATGAACCCCTCCGTTACATACGGGCACTGCTGAACTGTGCAGTTGAGTATCCGGAGTACGGAGCACAGCCAACCGGAGCACCAGCGGTTCTAGGCCACCGTTTGGGGATCTGGACAGAGGACGCAAAGTAGCCAAGAGGACCAAAGGTATTTACTTACCACAAACAAACAACGGCCGTTGGCGGCAGCTGCACCTGCTTGGTATACTTGTAATAGGTTCTTGTCCTGACGCTCCGTTCTGCACTTAAGTGGAGAAATGAAAAAAGGAGCGAGCGAGGCTGGGAGGGAGGGAGCGAGTGGGAGGGCGCCACGGCGGCACGGGTAGGCCCGTTTGAGCTCACTGCCGCTGCGCTAAGCCTAAGGAGCAAGGCCGGGTCCTAAGCCTAGCCTTATCTGGGGCAAGCGGGGCCCGCCATGTGAGACTCCGGCCTTCCGGACGGGTGGAAAGTTGGCCGCGGACCCGCCTAGCGTGGGAGGTCACGAGAAGGTCCAATGAAAGCCCCAGCATTAGCCTCCTCTCTACCCACTAAGGTGCAATATAAAAGTACTAGTAGTCTTTCGCGGTTCAGAATTCAAAACCTTCGCAGTCCTTCTACTTCGAGATTTTCCTCCCCTTAATTTTGCCTTTCTCCGATGAAAACCCAATCATCCATATTTTATCTGGAACGGGTGATCCACCTGTCCACCCTCGGCTTCGGTTATACCTTTTTGCCACCCAAGTAGCACCAAAGACTATGGATGCCAACAAAGTCCTGTCCACCCAGACTACGAAGATCACATTTGAATCCGTCACAGTACTTAAAGTGGGCCATATTGCCACCAGTGCTCTGAAGCCTCGACAAATCAAGGATCGTTCCGGATGTCTAGCCTGCAAACGGCGCCGGGTGAAATGCGACGACGCTAAACCGACATGTAAACACTGCGAAACACGCGGAGACGTCTGTGAGCGGGCCGCTGACGTGAGCCAATGGCGGGTGACGCTTTCTCAGCCTCGTCAGATCAACGACGGCAACGGATGCCTTGCCTGCAAACGACGCAAAGTCAAATGTGATAAGACCCTGCCATCTTGTCGCCATTGCCAGAGACGCAACGAGCCGTGCCAGAGGCCTTCACCACCAGGTATGGTCGTGAGCGCTTTACCGCGCTTGCCGGATTCGCTGGTGGCAGAGCGAGGAATCGATTTGCCCAACGCAGATTGGGACCTGCTGAACGATTGGTGCGACCGCGTCTGTCGCATTTTATGCAATTTTGGCAGAGATTCTAATCCTCTTTCTTTTTCCATGCTCGAGACCTTGACCCGGTCCCGTGCCGCGACACATACCCTCCAAAGTTTGTCTGCGGGATATCGAGGAAATTTCAGCCTGCCGCAAGCAACCCGCTCTCTCGAAGAGCGAAGCAAAGCGCTCAAATGTTTACGGGAAGAAATCGATGAGAAAGACTGTGCAACCGAGGTGATCCTGTTTACAGTCATCATCTTAGGCCACTCGGCCGGATGGCTTAGCGACGACACAAGCGAGTTTGGTCTGGAACACCTTCTCGCGGCCAATACCATCATCAACGGCTTGCTTCGAGACTACCGGGATGACACGAAGAAGAGTGAATTGTTCTATCTTGCACTCGGTATGTTTTTGTATTGGGACATGACTTGCTCATTTCTAGCACCTCTGGAACGCCTTCCCATTCGCAACCCTCTCCTAGCCAAAGTCGCAAAGCGAATGGACACCGGTGAGCGTCCTCATTCGGTTGTGGGCATTTCTAGTGAGCTGCTTCTTCTGCTGGGAAGCGTCGGAAGGCTGTGCCGCCGCGTGTGGGAAACAAACGTAAGTCATCCAACTCTCGAACGCAAATTGGAGGCGCAACTTTTGCAATGGCAACCACCGGCCGAAACTCCAGAGCTGGAACAAGCTATCGTTGTCGCTCGTTGTTTTCGTTCGACGGGTCTCATTATGCTTTATGGCCTCGACCAAACCACGGAACATGAAGAATCGATGGCCATTCAAGTCAAGACCGTCATTGAGAACTTGAAGAGAATTCCGGAATCGTCGCCTTACTATGGATTCCAGGCCTTTGTCCTTGCCGTTGTAAGCAGCGAGGTCATGGACAAAGATTCTCGAGAATTTTTCGTCCGCCAATTCCACCAACTATATAAACATAATCGGCTTCGAGCAAACTACCAGGCCCTGCAACTGACCCAAGAAATCTGGGCGAAACGCGATTTGGGACGAAAAGTTACCTTGCCTCAAATAATGGGTCAAAAGGGTTGGTCTGTTATGCTTGGCTGAGATCTGCAAGCCTCGGGAACGGGAATCTGCGCAGATCAGGCAGCCCCAGCCGCAAAACAAAGGCGCCAGCGCTTAATCTGCACATGCCTGAAAATGACCCGGAAGAGATGGAGCACCTGAACGAATGATAGATTCTGGAGAGGTTCCAGAAAGCCAGGTCACGGGGGCCGGATCCCCCCAGTGCCAAAATGAAATCGGCGAATGGTCCGGAGTCATGCTCAGCAGTTTGAGTGAATTTGATGCTATTACATCTGAAGCACCAAACTATTTTACGCTCAAGAAGGCTTTTAAGATCGTTGCTTCGACGCCACTGCTTCTGGAGGAAGGGGAATAAGTCCCTGTGGAACATTGCTGGTGATCTTGTGACAATCCTTTAGTGGATAAGGGTTTCTTCTGTCTTGCGGGAAATTGGCGAAAAACACATCCTCGTTGGAGATGCTTAACTTTACGGAGGATTGCATGGCGAGATGCTTGACCCAAGGCGACAAGGAGTTTGGCGGCTCGGTCGAAATCGGGATCTGGATGAGTCCAGTTCGATTTATCTGTACCCCGGGCCTCAAACAGGTAGCGTCCCTCGACCGTCTTGTGAGCGACCCAGCTAGAAGGCAAAGATTTCTGCAACTCCTTGATAGACATCCGTTCTGATTTCCGCTCCGCGGGGAATGGTAGGGCCGCGTGCGTTATTTATGCTCGGATTGGATCACCGAACGCACCAGGCCGGAGCATTGGCAGCCGGATCTCGTTGACCGTGGCCTTGAACTTGTCGTATTTATACGGGGCCATTTTGGGGTTGAGGCAACGGACTTGAGTTTGTTAGTTGGACTGGAATCGAGCACGATAGACTGCCGCTTGTTCGGGCTCGAAGAGGTTGTCGACCACATTTAAGGTCAGATGAAGGTAAGAAAGAGGAGGACGCCGATGTTAACGTCGAGATCCTACCTAATATCCTCAAAAGTAGATAACTGAATTGACTATTATTGCATTGCCCAAGTAGCAGTTCCGACACGGCCGAGATCCTAGGGACCTGTAAGGATCTGGTTTTGACTTGGGATATTGTCACCAGTTCTGAGTTGCAGCCCGTCCGAGCTGTTGTGGCAATGCTGGGCACACACAAAAGGGGTCGTAATCTTGGGAAATTGATTGATTGCTGAGTTCTATAGGACGAGAGAAGCGCAGACCGCTGTCCAGTTGTATGTAAGTAACCATTGCGGAGACTTGGTCAGCATCCTCTCCTTAAAGTTCGCAACCCACTGATATTAAGGTGTGAATTTGAAGGATGGCGTGAACAGAAAGCCTCCTATACAGGAACCAAGCTCTCAAGAAATTCTCCTGGGATTTCATAGACAAGCAGCGGATAGGGATGCTTTTGAAACTTGCTTAGGGAAGACGCTGTTGAGCGTTGAAATTTCCAATTGCTCTCCTCGTGGACAATTTGAGTTCGATCTTTGTGAACTCTCGCAGTCCAATCAAGGGCAAAGAGCAGGGAGAGAATCCCTGAAGGGAGGAGAGGAAGGCGATGAGCAAGAACACAGCCGACGGTGGTCTTCAGAAGTGCTGCTGGAACCACGCACGGAGAAAGCAGAATAGAAGTGTGGAAGATCCAAATCCATAAACCGCAGTCTAGCGTCTGGTGGGAAAAGTGCAAACGCGCTCACACCTCCATTCTCCGGTGTCATAGTCCATTGTCACCGTCACTGTCACTTCAGTTCCGCCTTGTTCTATCTTGCAGTAAGGAGCGTGGTCCAGTTCGTTACCACCGTTAAGCCCCGTCTAGTCTTCTATCCTGCCATTTTCTTCGGTTGGGCGAGGCAGACAGCCACCTCTGATCTATATATGCACGGAGGACCGAGTACGGTCTAAACCACCTGTCCGCATCTATCTACCTAATCGATAGGGGTGGGTCCATAAGGACTCTCTATTTGTTCTTTCTCAGTCAGAATCCAAAACATTGCTCCGTGGCTTGACGGGTGCAGCAACACTTAACACAACTCTCTGTGCTCGCCTTAAACTGTGTATCTTAGCACCACGAGGGGGCGACCCGTTGCAAATACTTGATGAATTTCCAGAGTCCAACTGCGCTTTCAGTGTTGCCTGCAGGATCGGTGACTCTCTCTGGGAAAGCAATGCCCGCACCATAAGCCTGTGGGACGGCGGCGTGGTTCAGAAGGATGCCGTTAATCGGATCATGGGTGATGCCGTTCAGAACCCTACCGTCGATGGCGAGCTGCGGGATCGGGTCTCGCGTGAAGCCGATTGCTTGCACGACGTGCGTGCAGGAGGAAAAGTGAGGTTTCATCGACACATCGCGGATATCTGGGCATTCGACTTTGGTGAGCACCTTGCCCACCGGGGAGTTTGCCAACTTCTCGTCTTCCAAATTCTCGCGTGCAAACTCGGCAGAGGCGCCCTTCAGGCCCGTATTGTCTCGCAGAATCCAGCCGTCCATCTCGACGGCGTAGGTCAAACGCCCGCGGACGAACCATTTGATCTGGATCCAAGGATGGGTCCGTGTTGCTAATTCGTAAAGGTTCATGATTGCTACGATGGCGCTATGAGACGTGCCCACAACTCCAACGACAACTTTTTCATCTGTCGTTGACAGGACGGTCCGAAGTTTCTGTCGGTCTAGGACGGTGTCGAGGTCAAGGATGGTTGGCGAGGAATAAGGTAAAGATATCCGCGTGGGCGACGAGCCGGTGCACATAATGATGTTCCGCGAGTAAAGTTTCCGGTTCGATTCAGGGTTTCTCGAGTTGAGACGCATTGACCAAAAGGCGGACGAAGGTTGAAAATCGGCTTCCGCCATATTTCCAACATGTGTCTCGACATTGGGAAGTCTGCGTAGACCGTCGGTCAACATGGCGAGCATATCCGAAGCATATTGGAGACGGCAGCCTCGGCTTTGATCGAGGGCTTCGAGGGCAGTTACTGCATGTGGTTTCGGTGTTGAAGCCACAATTTGACGGAAAGGTTCGAACGCATCAGCATACTGTCGAAACAGAGATGTTTTGGTGTTGCTGTTCAAGAGCAAAGACTTTAGTCAGGGGGCGAATCTTCAGAATGAAATCGCAATCGTCCATACCTCGACACATCTCTATATCTCTTTGATAGCCTTCCCCCAGTGAAGTCAGGATCTACCCATCCAATTCGGATGGACCGATGGAAGTGGAGGAGCGCACCAACAGTCGCAACACCTGCACCCCCTGCACCCACGACCACTGCGTCATAAACTTTTGTTGGCACCCCTATTGTCATGGTGTTGTGGTCGAACCGAACGTCCAAATAACCCCAATGGAAAGGACAAACTTCGAATTGATCGTAGGGAGCTTGTGGTGCATAAATCGGAGTTTACCGCCAATGTCCGACAAGGTACCAGCACGTTTTCGGGCAAATCCATGGCCCTGCATAATTATCCACTCACCAGGCGTCCTGCAAAACCGGGGGAGATGAATGGTAATAGATCAGATCATAACGTCCATGAAGATTTTGAGAGCCCGCCATATCGGCATCGACGATGTCTCCTGTTGCAGGCAGAAGGAAAGTCTAACAGAGGTCGAGTTGGCCTGACGAAATAGAAAATTGGATTTGGCTTGTCCTCAAGTCATCGAGAGGGGAAAAAAAGGATATTTGCGGGTTGAAATACTCCATCTCTTCAAAGGAAATGAGTTGCAAGTCACTCTTCTCGGACAAAACAAACTGTTTCGGAAGGGGAAAGCTGCATTAGTAAGCTTATTCAGTGCGCAGATTTGGTTGGGGACTATGTCATCACAGCATGACTACATGTGCTTAGGAGTATTGCGCCAAACGGCAGAATATCAGGAGGCAGGTTTATGGCGTCCCAATAATACGAACTTAACAACCTGAGCACGGCGAAGAAATAGAAGAGGGAGCATAATAATATAGGGGAAGCTCTACGGGAGTGGGAGTGTAGAGGCTGTATCCCGCCAAGACCTCGCCAAGGCACGCCTCAAATGACGTCAGTGCATCACGCACCTCTGCCATCGACAACGCCGTTGCATAGCTGTCATCAACTGCCCACATATGATCAATTCTGCACCGTCGGGTTCATTTTCACGTCAAGAAAGCAAGCTCCAATCGGTCGATTATGGCACCCTCCAGGGGGACGGTCAGGACGGCTCCAATAGCCTCAATCACAAGCGAGGGCGACACTGCCGTTGAACAACAATCCAACTCGGCACTCATCTCGGCCAAGCGAAACCTGAACTACCTAATCTCGCCGACTGCGCACACCGAGAAGCCTGCTCGATTTCGAACGCGCGCACTGCTCCGCACAGTACGATATGTAGGACAGTTCATCATCTGGCGGCTGGTGCGCTGGGCAAAGTATGTTGCTGTCGGAGCCCTGGTTGCAGCGGTGGGAGCTACCGCGTTTGGAGGCATGATATCTGGGGTGGCCTGGCTGGCTGCTCCGCCAACACTGGGGGCGAGCATTGTTGCAGCAGCTGTTTGGGGAGTGGGCAGATTTGCGGCTAGGAGGCTGCATGCGAGATGGAAGAATAGCGGAGGTGACATGGGAGAGGAAGTTAGGGAGAGAGTGATGGATCAAGCGGGAGGGATTAGGAGGGAGGGTTCATATGGGATAGATGTTGGACCGAGGGCTGTTCCTTGGTAAGGCAGCTGGTAGGACGGAGTACAGAGGACACCAAATATACTCGGTCTTGTGCTCGCTCGAACGAGCAAAGGACGAGGCTGAAGACGCGTCAAGATGTCTTATGACACACCGTCCTACACACCAACGGACAATGTTGAGATGATGAGAGGTGACCACTGACCAGAGCACGTCAGCCTTGTAGCCCATTGTCTCGCAGGTATGTATCCAACAGTATTCCCAACAATTCGAGCGGGATATGTGGTCCACATGCACATGTTTTGGACTGGGATATACACAGGAATCATATGATAGACCCAGCATACCGGAATATTGTTCCTTGCTGATGTAGTCGGGAGTAGTTGGTCTCGGAGAAGAGGAGAAAAGGCTGCGTGCCACGCTGATACGAAATACGAAATACGGCGCTGAAAACGAAGGGCGAGAGCCCTGAGACCCCAACCGTTTCCAAGATGCGGCACCGGTGGCCTCATGAGCCTCGGAGGAAAAGACCCGAGATCTTCAGCCCCTTTCAGCCCCCCCAGACTTAAACAATTCGGTTGGGCTGATGCAGGGATTAGAGCTTCTAGCCGCCTTCTAGCCGCCTTCTAGTGCAAGGCACTGAAGACGATCCACCAATCAGGACACCTTCAGAGACGAAGCTAGTGACGTTGTTCTTCCCCAACAAAAACCAAATACCGAAACCCCTGCGTGCGCTGTGCGTTGCCGCTTCCCAACTCCAGCCCTTTAGGAAGCGTCAGTCGACGTTCGATCACCCGTCTCGAAGTCTCATGAGAAGGCGAAAACAAAAAAACATAATTAGAAAACTCTGTCCTTAGCGATTGACGGCCACTGTCGCTCCCTGATTCGTCTGTCATGTCGGTCACGCCTCGGTGTCCGCTGACCATCTTCATCTCACCCTGAAGGACCTTTGCTATTATCGCCTCCAGCAACTGCCTGTGCCTCTGACCGATTTCCCATCCACCGACTTCCCCACAATCGCCTCCCAACATATCTGAGAAAGGCTCAAACACACCAACACCCTTTCGGAAACATCCTCACCATCCTCATAAATATAGCCTCCGCTCTTCGGTCTGTCCTGGTCTTCCTTTTGTTCCTTCATCCCATCTCGACTCCCTACGACCTCTGGCATTAGTTGAATCGCTCCTCAGCTTCAACAATGCCATCCTCTCAACCCACCGCTGGTGACCTGGCTGTCAAGCCCGAGTTTCAGTCTACACAACCCACACCCATGGCGAAACCTTCCGAGCCCAACAGAAATGCCAAATATGACCCCAAGAAAGTTCATATCACCGAGATGCCCATGACGAAGTCCAATTGGTACAAGCATGTCAACTGGCTCAATGTCACCCTCATCGTCGGCATTCCTCTCTGGGGCTGCATCCAGGCCTTCTGGGTGCCGCTGCAGTTCAAGACGGCGGTCTGGGCAGTGCTATATTATTTCGCCACGGGACTGGGCATCACCGCTGGATACCACCGATTATGGGCTCATACCTCCTACTCGGCCACCCTCCCCTTGAGAATCTTCCTCGCCGCAGTTGGTGGTGGTGCTGTTGAAGGCTCCATCAGATGGTGGTCACGCGACCACCGAGCACATCACCGATACACCGACACGGACAAGGACCCGTACTCTGTCCGCAAGGGTTTGCTGTATTCCCACATTGGCTGGATGATCATGAAGCAGAACCCCAAGAGAATTGGACGTACCGATATCTCGGACCTCAACGAAGACTCGATTGTTGTTTGGCAGCACAAGAACTATTTAAAGGTCGTCATCTTCATGGGTCTGCTCTTGCCCACTCTTGTTGCTGGACTTGGTTGGGGTGATTGGTGGGGTGGCTTCATTTATGCTGGTATTCTCCGAATCTTCTTCGTCCAGCAAGCCACCTTCTGCGTCAACTCGTTGGCCCACTGGCTGGGAGATCAACCGTTCGACGACCGCAACTCCCCTCGGGATCATGTCATTACCGCCTTCGTCACTCTTGGCGAGGGCTACCACAACTTCCACCACGAGTTCCCCTCCGACTACCGCAACGCCATTGAATGGCACCAATATGATCCCACCAAGTGGTTCATCTGGACCTGTAAGCAACTCGGTCTTGCGTACGATTTGAAGCAATTCCGCAGCAACGAAATCGAGAAGGGTCGCCTCCAGCAACAGCAGAAGAAGCTTGACCAGAAGCGTGCCAAGCTCGACTGGGGTATCCCTCTTGACCAACTTCCCGTCATGGAATGGGACGAGTATGTTGACCAATGCAAAAACGGTCGTGGTCTGATCGCCGTCGCTGGTATTGTCCACGATGTGACGGATTTCATCAAGGACCATCCCGGTGGTAAGGCCATGATTGGCTCTGGCATTGGCAAGGATGCCACGGCCATGTTCAATGGTGGTGTCTACATGCACAGCAATGCCGCCCACAACCTGCTCTCAACGATGAGAGTGGGTGTCATCCGTGGTGGAGGCGAGGTTGATATCTGGCGGAGATCTCAAATGGAGGCCAAGGGCGAGGTCAGCCGTGACTCTTCCGGTGAGAGGATCATCCGAGCTGGCTACCAACCCACCAAAGTGCTCCAGAACACTCCGACCGCAGGAGCTGCCTGAGCACGAGCGTACGTTGAATGGACATGAAATCGGTCTGGACGAGTTAGAGATGGAAAATATTTTACCTGCTAAGCGACATGTATAGTTCCAGTTCGGCGTTCCTGGGAAACGGCGAAAGGACAATTGGGTTTGGGGGTCAATGACTATGGATACGGAATTCACTGTCGATCCGGGAGTGATTGAGTGATGAGATTTGAGCCTTAGACGCCACTTTGCTATGAAGCATCAAGAACACTCGAAATACGCCATGAACATATCATAGCAGTATGAAATCATATCAGAACGTTTACCTGTGTGATTCTGTCGTTGACGTCCACTCCACCCGAGGTTCTGTAGACAGGAGGTTGGGGAGATGGTGAGCTGAGTAGGTGGACGTGCTTCTCCGCATGCCTGCGCCTATCCCTCCCCGTGCAGTTCCCATCTTCGTCCGGACTCCGCCTTGTGTTGCGCTCTGCTGCTGGTCTCTCTCGTAAAAGTATCCAAACGCATCCATCACCTTCTCTCCCAAGGCTGACTTGCCACGATACCCGACCATCGACCTGGTATCGCGCGATCTGTTCTCAAGATCCTTCGGGCAGCCATGCTTCCCGGCTGTCCGTATTTCATGATTGTAGTTGCATTTGCTTGGTTGCCTTCGCTCTCCACATCCTCCACTCGCTCCTTTGCCGTTACCTGATCAACTGACCGTCAGTTTATCGAGACCATCATTCCAAATCATCATTTACATTGTACCTTCTTAGAGCCTAGAGTATTTGACCATCAGTCGGCCATGTCGTCGTTCCGAGAGCTAGGAAACGAGAAGTTCAAAGCCGGTGAATTCAAGGAGGCCGAGCAATTCTACACCCAAGCGTACGTCTCATCTTTCTCTGGGAGAGTGCAAAGTCCTAACCTCGTAAATGAAACAGAATCGCCGAACACTCCCGCTCCGACCCCAAAGTCTTTACTAACAGAGCTCTCACCCGCATCCGTCTACAAGACTGGCCCGGCGCCGAATCCGACGCGCGTAAGGCGATCGAGCTGTATGGGTCCAAGCACAAGAATGCCGCCATGAAGTCTCACTACTATTTGGCGCAAGCCCTTCTCGGGCAGCGGCATGTCGGTGAAGCCCTGGAGGAAGCGAAAACCGCGTACACCATCTGTTTAGAATCGCACGACAGCTCTGCGGAGCTGATTTCCAATTTCATTCTGAAAGCGAAACAAGCACAATGGCAGGCCAAAGAGACGGCGCGGTTGAGGGAGATGAATGAGACGCTGGCGTTGGTGGAGGATCTGCTGGATGCTCAATTGCAACGGGATCTTGACGCAGTAGAAGAAAAGTTCAAGACAGGCCAGATCGGCGAGACAGGACGCAGGGAGGAAATCGAAGAACTCCAGAGAGAGGCGGAAGTGAGAAGGGCAAATATCAGGCGGGGCTTTGAAGACAAGGGTGTGCCGGATTCAGCGGAGAGGGTAAAGCACAGACACGGAATCTTTGCATGACCATGTTGCTAACCTGGTCGTCTTGAACAGGTCGTCCCTGACTGGCTCATTGACCCCATAACCTTCGAGGTGATGCACGACCCAGTCGTTACACCCACTGGCGTCTCATACGAGCGAGTATCGCTTCTGAAACACATCAAGGCCATTGGATGTGACCCGCTCACAAGGCAACCTCTCAAGCCGGACCAATTGATACCCAATGTTGCGTTGAAGAATGCTTGTGCAGAGTTCCTGGAGAAGAACGGGTGGGCTGCTGATTGGTAGGCATTGCACTCGGGGTGAGATTTGGATGTCCCTCCGCAACCTGGCTAGACAGTGGTTGTCTTCTCGAATAACTTCGTCTGGGCGGAGGACATCAGTGTCGCGCAGTAGGAGGTCGGATTGAATATCAGCCAACTGCCGATGACTGAAGACCGAGGGCGGGCGGATTGGAAGCCGGGGTTACTGACTACGATATACCAGCATGTGGCGGCGTTTGGGGTAATACTTGGATTGAATAGGAGAGCATGGACTATAGGTATTTCTACCTCTTGTCTTTTTCTTAAGGGAAGCGGCTTCAATGCAGCCTTTGGGTCTATACTCATGACACCCTGGACACATATAGGGCGCAATGGATGCATTGATGATTGATGGAAGAGGATTTATTGGGCCATGATCCTGATTGTGGACTCGAAGCAGCAGCAGCAGCAGCAATAAACTCCGCTGGAAAGAAGACTAAAGGTCATGCATCAGTGATAGACAGTATGGATATGGGTGAATAGACCATTACTCCCTGGAACACATCTTCCTCGTGGACTTCGAAGGCGGTAATCGGCTCTGGAACACTCTCACCTCAACCCCACCACTAGTCCAGTCACAGTCACGGGTGAAGAGCACCAGGGCGGCCCTCGGTCAGCGCTCGGTGATTTCCAAGATTCATGCTCGCTTACCCCCACCGCCAAAAAGCCCACCAGCGCCCAAAGAGTTGAGCGTCGGGCTCTGACGTCGTTTTTGGTTGGGAACCCAAAAGGCACCGTCATTGTTACCTGCTTGCCTGGCACCTGGGCAACAACAGCATCTGTGTCGCCGTCTCTCTACCTACGGAACCTAGAACTTGTTCCAATCTGCTCTACATCGTTGCGTTGAACCCATACAGCGATCATTCTTGGTATCTTTATCACTAGAACAAACATCAGAGGTCAGTTGCTATTTCTACCATCCCTCTCACCGTCATCACTGCACCATTCTTACCGCGCTGGGGCGAAGGAGTACTCCTGCAAAGTGAAGAGGGTGCACCCCAACTTGAAGTTTTCGCAAAATAGAGGATTCTTCCTCATAACTTCATGACTTCGACTCTATATCTCCTCATCCTCTCCCCAATAGCCTCCATCAAAGGGCCTTGACGCTAACTCTGCACACTGAATCTAGGCTTCGAGTCCAATCGTCACTCTCTCAGATCCTCTCAGATTTCTTCTACCGCTGAATCCTGCGCCTGCAACTACTGCCCTTCGAAAAAGACGCCGCGTTACAGTCTTCATTGTTGAAAGATGCCTTCCGCCGAATTTCTAAAAGCCGCCGAGGAGAGCCGTCAGCTCAAGGCCAAGCCATCCAATGATGAATTATTGGAGGTGAGTACGGCGGAAACGTATTTTTCCTGTTTCCATGGCCTGGTATAGAGCCAGCAGTTCGAAAGAGGCGGTTCTGAACAGGAAATGGAGGAAGCGAACCGTGGCCCCGCCAAAGAAAAGACAGGCATGGGTGAGGGAGGTCTGCTTCCTCATTTGGGAGTGCTGGGTCGCCATGAACAACCGACAACTGCACAGTTATCTTTCACTTCCTGGGCACGAACTCGACATTGTTGAATTCTAAACTAATCTCTTGGCCGAATGCAGCTCTACGCACTCTTCAAAGTCGCCAACGGCGAGGACATCACCAAGGCTACTGCCCCGGGAATGTTTGATCTGAAGGTACATTTCTCTGCTCTGCATCTTCGTCTCACACCTCCATCTCGCCCTCCGAGGTCTACTTTTCTTAAATGCCCGTGACACTAACCCCGTCTCGTCTCCTGTGGATAGGGCAAAGCTAAACACAAGGCATGGCAAAAGGAGGTCGATGCCGGTACCAGCGCAGAGGAAGCCGAGGCGAAATATATCAAGCTCGTCGAAAGTCTCAAGGAGAAGTATGGGTTTGATCCGAGTAAAGTGCCTGAGGCAGTTGGCTCGAATAACTAGAGGATTCTAAGAAAATTGGGTTTGAACCTGGCATGAAATCGTTGAGGTGGAGGCGCCGATCGGGGGGTTTGTCAAGGCTCCGGTCCTCGCCTTTCAGACACCGCTTTCCTCTTCATGATGGCAGTGATGTTGGCTTTTGCTGTTGCCACTCGGTTGTCGGATTTTTTGGTCAGAGAAGTCAATGATCGCTTGCAACGGGCTCACGGGAATAGGAGAGCAGGGGAGCATATCCACACAATATACGCAATATGTCATATGACCCTAGTCCATCTCTGCGCCCTGTTTCTCCTCCCCTTCGTTGCTGTCATCATCGTCTTCATCCGTGTCACTTCCGTCCTCGGCAATTTCCTGGCCAGCAAACAACATCCACTGGCCTCCCAGGACACTCTTCCTCCACACCTTGGTGACGCCGTCACTCCCGGTGCTCATAAGGACCTGGCCCTGAGAGTCGAAGGTGAGGGACCATGCGTCCGTGTGCGCGCGGGAGAGCGCGACAGCAGAGGAGATGGTCGTCATATAGGGGAAGGTGTAGCTCGTGCGCGCCGTATTCGCGCTGCTGGAGTGGGCAGCGGAAGAAGACCCATGGGTCGCCGTGTGGCGGCTGGCGATTTGCGTCGTCAGGCTCGACTGCTGCTGGTGCGCGCCCATACTGCGCGTGGGTGTCGGGGTAGAGCGCTGCTCCGCGCCGCCGTTGCGATGACCGTTGCCGGTCCCGGTAGCGGGTTCAGTGGCGGCTCCATGTCCAGTTCCGTCCCCCTCTGTGACACCGAGCTCAAAGACCCGCACCGCGCCGTCTTTGCCGGCCGTCGCGATACGGTCGGTGCCGCGCACGCTGAACGGTGCCCATGCTACGTCCCTGACTAATGCAGGGTGGGTGGGTAACTTTAGGGCCTCGTAGAACATCAGCCTGTGGCTGGCATTGCCGCTGCTCGAGACCCCTGTGCCGCTACCTATCCCCATGCCTATACCGCCCACACTTGCGTCCGCTCCCGTGCCGGAGTACGAGGGAACGACGCTGCGGTAGATCTTGACCTCGTTCAAAGCACAGACCACGAGACTCAACTGGTCGCGGTCGTTGCTCACCGAGTTGATGTACGCCAGCGGCGTCGGGTTCGGGTCGAAGCGGACTTTGAAGCTGGTCTCTTCGCCGCGACCGGGGACGTTGCTCGGCGCACAGACGTTGAAGCAGTCCAGCAGAGTCCACTCCTTCAGGTCGTCCGGGTTGGTCGGCTCGTAGACGCTCAGCAGGCCCTGGCGGTCGATCAGGGCTAGGAACGTCGATACGTGGTCCGTCGGCAGCGTCCTGACGTCCATGCTCACAAAGGGCACGCGCGGAGTCGACGGGATCGTGGCCACGCGCCGGAAGCGGTGACCTCCTCGTGGAGCTTGGGAGGGGTCTTCGCTCCACAGGTGGAATTTGAGGTCGTTGCCTATACTGGCCAGGTGCGTGCCCAGCGTCGGGTGGAGGAACTTGGCCTTTTTCTCGCATGATTGGGTTAGAAAAGCGAGCATGAAAATCCAACCAAAACAAAAGGATTGTGCTTGCCAGGATGAGAAGCAGATGATTTTCTTTCCGTTGAAAATGAAAAAATCCTTCCCCAGTGCAGCTTTTGCTAGGAGTTGAACAGACGGAAGAAATACAACTTCGACTCGTAGTTGCCCAGATAGGTCGAACCGGGGACGGAACTCACATCTCTGACATCAGAATCGTGCGCCGTGAATGTATCAAGCAGAGTTCTTTCGCCTGTCCTGGGGTCCCGCTCCCAGACTTTGATCCGGTGGTCGATGGACGCCGTCAGGATGCGAGTGCCGTTGAAGTTGGCGTGCAACACTGTGACACGGTCCTGATGGCCTGGGTCGAAAGTCGAGCTTTTGGCCATTTTTGGACAAGAGGAGATGTCAAGGACAGAGAACTGAGAGAGATGCCAGCTGGAGGCTTGAGGTAAAAGGCAAGGGCCCGGGTGAGAGCGGTGGCGGGTGTTCTTGGGAAGATAAATGCTTCATTGCTGAGGTGGATGGAGGGATGTAAATGTGTTAGGCGAGGCTATGCTGGGACATTGTGCCCCTAGATCCTTTTCTTGCGGCAAATATATTTCTACAGATGGCCCTGAGATATGTATATTTGGTAACTGACAATGGTGTAGAGTGGAAGCCTGGAGCGGTATAAGAATCAAGAAGGCATTTCACATGGATGTTGTTACTAAGTTTCCATGTTGTTTGATTTACGCCGCTGCTGATTGGCGGAATTGCGAGGAGGCTGGCCTTTTCGGAATATAGTTGTCCCGAACAGTTGCTGCGAGGCCACAGCAAACAGAGGACAGATTGTCAACCTCTATCAGACTATCCCACAGCGTCCCGCCACTGTGCTATGAAAGAAGATTAATGTCGGTGGCTTCGCCCATCTCATTTCTTCTCCACGTCTCACAATACTGCTATGGATCCGGTCCGCATGTCTTCGCGGTAGCACAAAGGTAGCCACCTTTCAGAAACAAACTGTGCCACTTTCTCATGCCGCAGAAAACATCATGGCCGCGTCCACTCTCAACCCTTCAGAGAAATGGTCGCTGCTCGTGGCTGCCGGGGCTTCTCTTGCGGTAATTGCGAACACCTTTCAGGGGGACGGGGCGCCTCTCGTGGCCTCGCTCGCGTTCTCCACCCTGGCTTTCTCCATGACTTACGCTTTTGTGCGATGGTCGGGCCCAGCCTTTGTCAAGGCTGGATTAAAGGGGAGAGATATGAGCAAGATCATGCCAAAGGAGATGTGAGCATTTTTCAAGGCCGATCACGGGTGTGAATGCTAATCTGTCCAGTCCTGAGGCCATGGGAGCAGTTGCTGCAGCGGTCTATATCCTGGCCCTCATGGCGTTCATTCCTTTCGCCTTCTACAAGGACATCGTCGCCGCTACATCTGGCGGTGGGAACAGAGATGTCGTGCTCACCGTTACCGAGGTCGAGACAGGACGGTTCTTGCATCGGTTTCCGCACTCGAAATTATCCTCGTATCAATCCGCACTGAATACTCTCCAAGCCACCACCATCCTCGGCATATGCGACGACCTTCTCGACCTTCGGTGGAGGCACAAATTCTTCATCCCTGCAGTGGCGTCACTCCCCCTTCTCATCGTTTACTATGTCGATTTCGGCGTCACTTCGGTTGTTGTCCCCAATTTTCTCGTCCCATACATGCCAAATCAGGCTCGCCTCATCAATCTGTCCCTTTTCTATTACCTGTATATGTCAGCTTTGTCGATATTTGCGCCGAACTCGATCAACATTCTTGCAGGCGTCAACGGGATCGAGGTTGGGCAGTCACTGGTGATTGCGGGATTGTTGGTCCTCAATTCTGCGCTCTATCTGGTCCCGTTTCCCGGGAATCCAGTATTAAATCACGCGTATGCGACACGTCCACACCCCGCCACCGACGGCCATCTCATGACGTTGTATATTTTACTACCATTCCTAGCTGTGTCAACAGCCCTGTACATCCACAACAGATACCCAGCTAGGGTCTTCGTTGGAGACACATATTGTTATGTTGCGGGCATGACCTTCGCCGTGGTCGCAATCATGGCCCATTTCAGCAAGACACTCCTTCTGCTCCTCATCCCACAAATTGCCAACTTCATCTACAGTACGCCGCAACTTTTCCACCTGATCCCATGCCCGCGGCATCGACTGCCTAAATTCAATGCAAGGACAGGCCTCCTCGAGCCAAGTGTGACGCCATGGCCACCAGAGAGGCCTCCCAGCAAGCCGTTGACGGCCATCTTCTTACTTCTAGAGAAGCTGCACCTGATCCAAGTAACTGTAGAGCCGAAGACGAACCGCATCTCGAGCACGTCCAATCTGACCATTATCAATCTGTGGCTGGTGTGGAGAGGTCCTATGAGAGAAGACCAGTTGACGAGGGAGCTGTTGATTATGCAGACGTGCTGTGGCTTCCTTGGCCTCTTTGTCCGTCATACGATGGCGTTGCTGATTTTCAGCACGGATAACCGAGGGCAAGTCTCCTCAGTATAGCAGCTATGTCTTTCGGATTGCTGTGCAGATCATGAATGTTCTCTTTTTATACTCCGTCTATAGAAATGCATCGAATTCGATCAGCCCTCGCAGCCTCGCAGCCTCGCCGCCTCGTATGCAAGAAACCAATCAGGGGTTTTTCCGAAGATGATCCGAATTCACATCGTTCGTTGTTGCCTTGAGACTGAATTTAGACATTCCAGCACATTGCAACTTGACATACAACAGGTTGTCGAATGGGCGCTTACATGACGCTAATATGTTTTTCATGAGGCTGAAATTGCAATCCTTTGAATGTCCGTGTCTCGCATCGCCTCCAAACACTCTCGATTCACTTCTCTCTTGACCTCTGCCACCATCTCTGCTGAGACCCGTTCGAGATTTCTTTCTCCTCACGCCTTCAGAAGTCAGGTGTTAGAGTATTCTCTGATGGCTTCAAGATCTTCGAAACGAGTCAAACTTGACTCTGGCCAAAGAGGTGCTTTGTCAGCCTCACAGCAGTCGTCTCTGGACGGCAATGTCACGGACCCGGCGTCCATTCGCGCGAAGAGAGCTGCCTTTCTCAGTTCGATTTCTAGGTCAATCTCACCACCGGAAACTCAAAGGTCTGAGGCAACGACTCCACAGCTGCGAAATGAGACCAAAGAGGATCCGAAACAGCACGCAACTCCCCGTTCTCCGCAGCCACAGAAACATTCTTCCGAGGCTCACCACCATGGCGAGTCAAGTAAGAGCTCGAACGCTCAATCCGCCATTGTTGGGTCCAAGCCAGTCTCCGCAACGAAGCTCATCCCATCGCCTTTCAGACTAACCACGATCTATGACCTTCCATCTTCTAAGAATGTTGACACGATTTCACTGCATGACATCCTTGGAAACCCACTGATCAAGGAAGCTTGGATTTTCAACTTTTGCTTCGATGTCGATTGGCTGATGACCCATTTCGATTCCGATATCCGCTCCAACGTCAAAGTGAAGGTCATTCATGGGTCATGGAAAAATGACTCCCCAAACAAAATCGCCATCGATGATGCATGTCGCAGATGGACGAACGTTGAATCCGCCACTGCTTATTTGCCTGATCAATTTGGAACTCATCACAGCAAGATGTTCATTCTCTTCACTCACGATGACCTTGCCCAGGTTGTCATTCACACGGCGAATATGTTGGAGAAGGATTGGACGAATATGACCCAGGCGGCGTGGCTATCTCCCATGCTCCCGCTACTCGAGGGGAACCATGTGGAGAAACCTGGAAATATAGGAACTGGGACAAGGTTCAAGCATGACATCCTGGCCTATCTCGCAGCGTACGGGTCGAAAACGAAGGCTTTGCGGGAACAACTGACACAATTCGATTTCCGCAGCGTCCGAGGTGCCCTTATAGCTTCAGTCCCGTCGCGAATCAAGGAGCCATCAATTACGCAACATAGCAAGGCCATTTGGGATCTCAAACTATGGGGATATCCAAGTTTGTTGCGTGCGCTGCAATCGATTATCCTGCAACAACGGCAGACCCAACCTTCGGACAAGTCAAGCAGACAATCCCCCCATGTTGTTTGCCAAATTTCCTCAATTGCCACCCTTCCCCAAAGCTGGATGAATCAGTTCTTCTCAATCCTCTACTCGACCCTGCAATCCACCTCGTCCAGTTCGGTACAGAAATGGGATCCTTCGCACATCTCAATCATCTATCCAACACCCCACAACGTTGCGGCATCTCTCGACGGCTACGCATCTGGCGGGTCTATTCATACAAAGGCCCAGTCCGCTGCCCATCTGAAACAAATTGCTGGCCTTCGAGATTCGCTGTACCAATGGGCCAGGGGCTCGAAGGAAGAGACAAGAGCGGGACGAGACGAGGCAGCTCCGCATATCAAGACCTACGTCTGCTTTGAAAGCAAGCCTTCAACGATAAAGCCGGTGCCGAATGTGAAGTGGGCGTTGTTGACCAGCGCGAATCTAAGTCAACAGGCTTGGGGCGCGCTCCGTCCGAAGGATAAGGAGATCGCGGTGCAGAGTTACGAGATCGGCGTGCTGGTTTGGCCAGAGTTGTTTGCGGAGGGGTTCGACCCTGAAGGGGCGACCGAGACGGACAAGCAAGATTCAGGCAGAAGAGAAGATGCCGAAAACAACAACGCGTCTACAAGTACTGCCTACGGGAGCAGCAGGGAAAAGATAAAAATGATCCCTGTTTTCGAAAATGACACACCCGCTCCTCTGTCTCGTTCGCCTTCACCTTCGCCTTCACCGCCCCCCGATAGCCTCGATCATCAATTTTGCGGACCCGAAACGCTGATCGGACTGCGCATACCCTACGACCTCCCCCTCACGCCGTACGGCAAGGACGATATGCCGTGGAGTCCGCAGGGCGTGTATGAGCAACCCGATCGATGGGGGCGACGATGGCCGAGAGACTTCTCCTGAGCTAAGCTAACATGTCTGTCTTTTCTTCCCCGTGACGAGTGACGATGTCGGTAAGCTGGACAGCAGAGGGATTTCGAAAAAGAGGTGACGTGGAGGTTTGGACTGGGGAGTTCAGGTTTGTTTGACTAGTATCTTCCTTTTCTCGAAGCAGATACTGTCGCGTGAGCTCTGACGATGCATTATGGTGCCTTTATTCGCGTTGATCAAGTGGGAAGGGCATGCGGCCTGGGGTTGGCTCATGAAGGATACATGCCTAGACTAGGTATATACCTATTGGGAGGTGAGATGGCAAGCAAGCCCACTAGCCTCGTCATTACCACGATGCTTTAGCGGAGGCACGGGGTTTGGTAGTACTTGGTCAGTCCACTTGCGACTCACAGGCATCAAATCAAGGCTTCATTAGGTCGTTGTGGGACTGCTATTTCAACTTATGTCACGTCACCGCATATCATGTCTTTCCGTTTGCTTCTGTCGGTATTCCAGCCCGCAGCAGTCACTACCTCTGCTAAAGCTAGGTAGGTGTTTAGCCATTGAAGTATGGACTCGTCACCTTAACCCTCACAGCCGTGCTATCCCTTCTCAACCGTCGTCGGGCCCCGACGGGAGTGTCTTGTTGATCTTTTGAGCGTTTCGGTGTGGAGTTTCCCTCGGTCTTGGATTTGGGCTTTGAACTCGACCGCCGCGTTGATAGAAGAGCGTTCTCGTCGTCGTAATCATGCCCATCAGCTGCGTCGTGCGAATCGCGTTCGGCCTCCAGAGCTGAAGCAGAAGCAGTAAACCTCGATGCGGCGCCAGAGGTTGTTCTTGTTCGTCTCCGTGATGGTGGCTGAGAGGCGGTCTTTGAGCTCCCTTGAATCCGAGATTTGCGCGCTGATGAAATGCGTCTTCTGGCATTCGTGGGCACGTACGCGCCTGAGTCAGAATCATTAGAACTCCTATCCTCTTCTGCCATGTCTCCCTCGTCAACAGCATCGTCGACGCCGTATTCCCCACGTCCGAGTTCAAACCCTTGGTCGGATACTTCTTCTCCCTCGACATCGCCGTCATTCTCGCTGGTCAAGGTAGATGAGTCCGAAGTCTCATGCTTGCTCTCTTCGAATTCTTCGAGATTCGACTTTCCTGGTCGCCGCCGTCGAAGCGCTGGCTTCAATGGCGAGACAGAAGCCGGTGTCGGATACTGGTAGTCGGTGACGCGCTCTTTTCCTTTGAAATTGGAGCCGTTCTGGGCGAGGGGAGTCGGTTCATCGTGATGATGGACCACTTCGAGATCGCTCTCAACCTGATGCTCTTCCTCTGAATCAAGGAGAAACCCGCCCCCTTCGCCAAATTCATCCTTAGCGGTCTTAGTTCCAGGGATTCCGTTCCGCACCGCAGGCGCTTCGTTGTCACTTTCCAACATGATCGGCTGCTCTTTGCTCTTCCCTAACGTCGGTTCATCTACAGCATTCTGATCCCCATATGTGTCCCTCACTCTCTCCCTAATCCTCAACCCAAGAACAAACTTTCGCCACAGCTCCAATACCAGTGCTTCCATTTTCTTTTCCTCTTTCTTTCTCTGCTCCTCGTTGAATTTATGCCATGCCTCTACCACAGCCCGCTCATTCTCCTTGGCGACGACCACACCACTGCAAATGGGCACAGCGCGCTTGTTTCCGAATTCAAAGCCAGTGACTGCCTCGGCGAAGTCAATCTGTAGTTTCTTGCAGATCCGTACAGTTCCTCTCAGGGGAATATGGGCGGCACCTTTGGGCACCATCGAAGGAACAAAACAGTCGATGTTTCCATACGCGTTCTTTGGAATCACGCCGTTCTGAATTGGCGGTGGGATAATGTACTCCGTCTGATCCCAGCTATACAGGCCCTGCATCTGTTTTTCTCCAGTTTGTCGTTCGTGTTCTTCCGCTTCTCGCTTACGAGTCAAGGTGACCGCTCGCACAGGGACAAATTTCATTGGGGCCTCCCCTACTTTAGGCCGTCGACCTTCTTTATGCCAGGACTCTGCTGTCAAGCAACGTTCGACGTCGGATCGGCGGTACACCGGTTCCTCCTTTAAGTTCTCGCCTTTCCCCGAAAAGAAAGTACGGACGGGTTCAGCGTTGGGGCGAAGTGCTTCTTCGCGGCGGAGGAACCGTTCGAGCACAAAATCGGCGGACGACTTCAGAGATTGCAAGGTATCGACTTCTTGACCACCACTGTCCTTCTTCTCCGGAAGTTGGGGAACCAGATCCGTTGCATCTTCCACGTCGTCGACAGCTCTTCTCATTAGGTCAGGCCGGACGTAGCCACTCATGACGCGCTTGAACCAGTCGTAGTCCTCGTATCTCTTGATTTTGCCGTATTTATTGTAGACAGGAATCTTCTCCACAGGAAAACGAAACCCCTTTGTCTTACCTGGCCAAATTCTTTTCCTCAGGTATCGCACGGTTACGTCCTTCGCTGTGCCATCCGAGGAGTATGCAATGACATAGGCCATCACGGTCTTTGTCTTCTCGGCTTTGATGCCGCGTGGTTCGAAAGTTGCGAGAATTTCTGGAGTGGTGGCCACTGGAGACGCAAGAACGAGCGGGGAGACTGGGAGGACTTTGTTCGTTACTGGCGATATTGCTTCGGTCCAGTAGATGGGGAAAGGGTTGTCTCGGTCATACTTCTGCGGTCGTTTCTTGGGCACTGCTGGGGTGATGTCCACGACCGAGTCCTCTTCGCTCCCCAGTTCGGAGCTATTGCCAGATGCCTTGCATGGCCCGCCTTTCCGTCGTGTTGGGGTTTTGGTGATCTCTGATATTGACTTGACGTCTTCCGAGCCTGAGTCGTCGGAGGACGTATCTAAATTGACTGCTTCGCTGGGTTTCCGGGGCTGCGCTTGTTCTGCCTTCGTCCAGCCGAACCCACTGGGCTGCAGGCTTGCAACCAACCTGGACTCAATGCCCAAACCTCTCAACAGCGCGGTAAACAATTGAGCACCCACGTCCCTTGAACCTTCAGATTTCCTCGCAAGCTCGCGAAATTCTTCGATATTTCTAACCCGCTCCCCGTGCTCTTCCGGATTGTGCTCATCGTTGCGCTGCGACTGAATGATCTGTTTTAACCCCAATCTGGTGCCATAGCCACGCTTCCTCAGTCCCGGAGCAGTGATAGTAAATTTCTTCTTCCAGTAAGCGGCCAGAACCCTCATCAGTGAGATGAGCGGGTCACCGTTGCTCATATCGGGCATCCCCTGCTCGACGCGCTTGCTCGGTCTACCCCAATCTCTTCCATCGCGTGGGTCGGGAGCCTTTTGCTTGCCGCGTCTCTTGTCCTTACTCTTCACAGATTCCCCTCCTGTCTCTGTCTCTGCAAGCGTCAATCCACTAGCTCTCTTCCACTTTTCGACCTCTTTCTGAATTGGAGAGGGCAATTGTTGGACGAGGATCTGTTGAACTTCCATGTCTGAGATCCAGCTATTCCGGACTGAGTTGTGCCAGAGAAGGAACTGTACGTGTAGCTGATGAGTGCAGATTCTGACCTGCTTCTCTCGTTTCGAGGGCCCCTTCCTCTTGTTTGCCGCCTGCGCAATCCAGTTATCAGCTTCATTGTCCGCTTTGCGCAGGGTTATCTCAATCGGACCGTCCGACTGCGGTTTGTAAGCCGGTAGCTCCTTCTCTTGTTCGTGGCCCGCGGCGTCTTCCCATTCTATGTCTTCGTCTTCGTCCTCGTCCTCGTCCTTCTCGGCCCCATGAGCAACAACAGGCGGCCGCCCGAGGTTAGATGGGACGTCTTCGAACTGCTCGCTGTCCACATCGCTGAGGGAGGACTCCGAGTCATCACTTCCAAGGGAGAACGTCTGAGTCCGCTGCCGACCTGGGATATTCCTCGACTCGTCGTCCAAGACATCTCCGAGTTTTGCCTTCTTCGTAGGAGTCTGCCCGGAGGAGGCAGGTGGCGTTGAAGAGAGCCTCTTTCTCGGTAAGAATGGTGGCATTGGGCTTTGCCCTGGAAGGACAGGGAACCTCAGTTCTAGATCATGCAAGGACAACGGTCGAAGAAAATGACTCTGCGAGACCCAATCCAGGCATCTGCAGCGACATGCGCAACTTTCCAAGGGCGGTAAATGGTGACGTCGCTACGATCTCTGGAATTTGGAGAGGGTTTAAGCGAAAAGTGATAATCCCGCGGCGCAGATGCCGCCTAGAACACCCACAGGAATTTTGTTGCGGGGATGAACGATCAATTGCCAGTGGTCTCACCAATTGCTCCGTAAACCTCGTGTCCTACCAAGCATCTGCTACTCTGTCGCGCCCTTTTGACATCCTCAGTCTGAATTCAATGGCCGACAAATCACCGCCGTCGCCTGTTCACACCTACCACTGCCTATGCACAACCCTCGTCCTCACCACCGCGCACGACCTGCACTCCCTCCCTCGCCGCCATGAGCCGGTTCAAGATGGAGCCCTGGTCCTCGCTCCTCCCGTCGACATTACTAGAGCCGAGACTCTGGAGACGCAACGCTCTGAGCCCGCGGGTTCTGTGCTACTCAACGTGGCGCCAGAGCGAAAACCAGTCATGATCCGCCGAGAAGACGGATTTGAGAAAAGAACGCTGCTAAAGTGTGTGAGGTGCAAGTTGGTCATCGGGTACAATCTCGACGAGGTCCACTTTGAGAAGCCCGAAGGAAATCCAAGGCCAGTGTATTTGTTGCCCGGTGGACTTCTCAGCACTCAGGATATGGCAGAGGGGAAACAACCAGAGACTCCTTCGTGGGCGGAGCAAAAATAACTGCGCGTGCAGGATTCATGTGTTTATTTGCATCTGAGATACCCTCTACTGTAGACCAATAGACTCTGCCGGAATGCGCTCGGATCTCGAGCCTGAGAATCAAGACAATTGAGTCCTGACCACTGTTGCGCCAACCAGAAAGTATGCACTGGATTCCATGCCCATAAACCATACGCTCGTGAAAGGGAGAGTGGCTAGTTGGCCAGAATCGTTCGGACGAGTTCCATGTAGTTAATCTCGCCACTGCTAGTGTCGACGGCTTTCAGCAGCTCGTCCACCTCTTCGTCGCTCATTTTCTCGCCCAGATTTGTCAGGATGTATCTCAGCTGGCCCACCCCAATAAAGCCAGTCATGTCCTTGTCAAACACCTGGAAGCCGCGACAGTATTCTTCTGGTTCACCAGGGTCTCGAAAGCCGCCAGGTCGGTTGAGGACTTTGCTAAAGGCGTCGAAGTCGACTGCGGCAAACATTAGCCCGTGGCAAGTTATTGAGTTGCGTGTGAATTCTTACAGTCGCCACCAACTTGTTTCTCCAGGTCTCTGATTTCGGCGAGGGTGGGATTCTGACCACAGGCGCGTAGGAGGTCGCCAAGGGATTCGAGGGCAACACGGCCATTGCCACGCTTGTCGTACAGCGAAAAGGCTTCCTTGTAGTTGGTAGACGTCTGCGCGGCAGAGGATTGAGAATTAGCCATTATGGATTAGCCTGCTGGGGATGGAGATGGAGATGGAGGAGGAGGAGAAGAAGGAGAGAAATAGAAGAGCGAGGGGTTGTCCGTGAGATGGTGTCGTGTTTGTCTTTGTGTTGTTGTCGTTTGGTCAAGTGTGATGCCGGGGGGGAGCCAACAGAAAGTCACTGGACGAATGAGAGGAAAGAACTCACCATCTTCCCAATCCGAGTCTTGCCAAAGCAGTGTTTCTGGTGATTCCTTTCCAAAAGCCTCGCCTACTCTTTACTGATGTGATTCTGTGCTTGTGTTCGAGGTGTCGAAGTGGTGGAAGACGATCAAGGTCTCTCCTGAAGCCAGATGGCGCGTGCGCTCCCTTTCTGTTGACACTAGTTCCTGCGACGCTCGAGCAGAAACCCACTTGGACGCCCGTCTCCCAGCAACAGCTCACAGGTTCACAGCCTCATCCACCGCCGCCTCCAGCCCCTCCTTGCCCTGCTTTCCGACTCCCCAGCATGAAAATCACATTTGCTATCACGATGCACACCCTCAGGATCTTCTGCTCCTTCTTGGGCAATAGCCGGAACACGAGGCTCATCTGATCTGGGACACGCGCCGAGGGGCTTTCCGCCACATTCTAGATCCTGTTGGCCGTTTGGAACAAAGAGAACAGGGCGTCCACCGATCAGCGAACTGGCCATCAAGCTCGTCTACTATCTACGACTGCGCGAGTCCGCCAGACTTCTGTCTATCGTTTTTAATGTCCTGTCCAGTGGCAAGCCAGCCCTCAATCTCTTCTCCCAGATTTCACATGGCGGAATGAGACCCGTTTATTCCCTCAACCATCAATTATCTCACAATGCCTGATTGGGTAGCTCAGTTGTCCAATATCAGGGCGGGATCCGTTCACCAACCGTTATGTCACGCCTTCGGACTTAACTCGCGTGGAAGTTGTCGACTCGTACAACAACTGCTCAAGCCCTCTCGGGGCCCACGACTTACGCTCGACCGTCCCGGTGGTAAGACCGAATCTCGCATAACTGGCATGGGTAGATGTCGCTTACGTCGTCGTCTCCTTCTCATGGGAGATGCCTGTCCATTGTAACCTTAGCCTCTGTCCACGCAAGTGTTCGAGACTTCTCCTCCCACATGATCGTCCAAAGTCGGTATCTATGCCTCAACCAGACCCAAAAATTTAGCCTATGTCACAGCCCTAACCGTGCTCAGGCGGATAAACGTGGGGAGAGCATGATATCTTCGCGCAACCACAGTCCATTTGGTAGGCGAGATATTTCTTATCCCTGCCATGCGTCGAGGCCTCTCGCTCCATTTACAAGGTAGGAGCTCTGTTCAGCCAGTTAGATTAATTTACCATTCGCCATCAAGAGCTGCCCCTCGTCGTTAGCTCCCATGCTGTCCGCAATCGTTGATATAGAAGCGCGATGGATGCCAGTTGGGACTGTGGCATTCAAAGCAGGCAACACTCTACCATTTACTATTTCAGAGTCGTGAAGATATATCCACAGTATCCCCAATTGCCTGGTTTCCCGGACCACTTCATCAATTCAACGTTATACAACCCTGTACCACACCACTGGCTAGCACTCCCCCGAGTCAACTCTCCAAGGAAAAATGCCTTCTTCCGCATCGCCCGTCGTGGAAAGACCTTCTATGATCACCCCAAAGCGGCAACACTCTTCTTCCCTATCTTCCGTGACCACTGTCCGGAGCACGACTATCTCCACGGCCTTGGCGAACTCAGACTCGGAAATGCACTCCATACTCACCAAACAAATGCAGGCCCGCTCCAGCAATCAACAACGCTGGCAGTCCTGGCAAGCCAAACAAATTGAATGCTTCCAGGGCGCGGCGATGGTGGCGGAGAAAGATGCCAAATCGAGCAAGGGGTTCACTTCGAAGCGGCCGCATATCCACCTGGATAGCATTTCAAGAGGCTTGAGGAGATTGCGGGGTTGAGGACGGCAAGCAAAATGCAAGTGAGACGGTCATGCGATATCCGGAGTCGTCATCACTAATCGACATTGAAAGGGGATAGGCGGCGAGCAGCGCGCAACACCTCATGCTGCTCATGTTGTTGGAGAAGACAAATCAAAGACTGATGGAAGTGCGGGAGTGCTTCTATCTCCGCACATCCTGCTTGCTTCCCGCCGGTTCTGGATGCTTACCAACCGACAAATCACCCAGCGGCCAGGATCCCAACTCAGCCTCCAAGCATGTAGCGCCAATCAGGAAGTCACGCGATCACAACAGCACCTGGTGTACAAGTCTTGATACACGGGAGCTCAACCCAGAGATTCTCGTCACTCCAGAGAAGTCGTCAAGCGACGTTGATTGATGTAACTGGTCAAGCCTATTTTGCAACTGTGGTTTCGAAATTCGTCTCGTGCATCGTTGCCGATGGAGGTCCACATGGTTAAAAGATTGGAGCATCTTCAATCGGCGTCTCTCGGATGGCTCACTATCTACTTTCGCCTCTTTTAAGATCAGAAGTGTTGTATGGAAGTTGCAGTCAAGTCCTGGATGCCTGATACAGTGTTTCGAATGGGGACGGATGGTGAGCGTATGACTGAGTTGACCAAGGGCGTGTGGGTCCGAACGTCAGATACTTAGTACTGTTATACCATCTGATATTTGCGATATTCAGTATCCGCTCCTTCGAACTTGCTCTGTGCCCTATCTCGAGACCTATTGCTGCAGCGGTCGCGTGCGTCCAAGCACCCCGATAGCCAACCACGCCATCACAAGTGGGGTGGGAGTATAACCTCTTCTGTATAACCTCTTCTGCGCGCCTGAGGACGGCGACTGATACGCCGCCATCAGCGGCCCTGACAAAGGTAGGAAGTCGGCGTGAAGTTGAGCCCATTCCGCCGACCATGGAAAGAATATGCGAGATTATGGAGCAATATGGGCTCGATTGACAGAAAGGAAAGAAAGGGAAGAATGAATCGAACCCCCCTTGGCATCGCCGGACGTGGAATCGGGTTGCCCAATGACGATCGGTACGGGCGGAACACCAATGTAGCTTACATGGGAAAGCATTCTTGGTGATATGGGTGAGTACTCAACTAAAGCAGTGGACCATTCGGGTAGGGAAGCTGACGGAAGTGCAACGAGAACAGCACCAATACGGTGTATATTCCCGCTGCTATAGATGATTATCGTTGAGGGAGACAGTCCGCGGCACTTCTCCTTCATGCACGGGCATCGATTTCTCCCGTGCCAGTTTCAAGGGCGGCGAACATGTTATCATCGCTCTTAGCCGCGATCCGGCTTTTTGCCATGCACGCTTTCGATCCGCGCATGGATGTGTTCCTCCGCCGTCCTTCCCTCCCCAGCATATCTCGGCACCCAGCCTTGCTTTTCCATCCCATGCATGGGGACGAGAACGGCGTTCTTATCAGGATGCAAGAAATACGCAAACGTATACCGATCCAGCCCGCCCTCCGTCGCGGTGGGGACGACGCGGTGCCAAGTACTCTTCAACTTCCCTGCCGTCCAGAACTCGAGCATGTCTCCGATGTTCACGAGGATCAGGTCCGGAAGAGCGGGCGCTGGCGTCCACGTCTCGGTGTCCAGAGACAAGTCCGGCGAGGTGTACTTGGGCGGACGCACCTCAAGACCTCCAACGGTGGTTTGGAAGAGGAGGGTTAATGTTCCCCAGTCTGTGTGAGGCGAGATGCGGAATGCTGGAAGACCCTCGGATCTTTCTGACCCAGGGGTGACGGGGGTGACGGGCGGGTAATGCATCAGCTCGAAATTATCGAAGTTCTCCTTCTCCGGACCATGGTATTGTGCGAACGTCGTACGGGGAAGGTCGAGCGCTAACGCGATGAGTTCAAGGAGCTGCCTGGTGAATTGACGGACGTCTTGCTGAAAGGAGAATATCTGCTGCCGCGCTTCAGAGAGGATAGGAGGAAGACGTGCTGCGGCAGAATGCTCGGTCGTCGGCCACTTGTTGATGCTGATCGCTTCACGAGGATCTGTGAATCTGCCATCCGCCCTGTTTGACGCCTTTCTGTTAAAAGGCAGGACCGCAGAGAGTAGTGATGGAGAATCATTTGCTCAAACACTCACCCATACGAGCTAGCAGGTTTGTAGCCGGCATTTTTCGAGGCAACGTAGGGTGCTTCTAACTTGGCCGAAAGCGGTTGAGCAAAGAACTGTTTTTCCTGCGATGCTTGTGAGTGTGGTGCGATGCTTGTCGAAGACTCGATCGGGGCCAGAATAGTTCTAGAGAGAGAGGAATAAGAGTTACTGCTCCTATGTAGGGCTTGGGCTACTCGGTCACTTTGGGAGATGTGATGTTCGTGGGCATGTCTTCATCAAAGGCTGGCTTCATTCCAACACCCGCAAAGCCACATGAAAACCCATCAAGGCTTCTTTTGAGAACAGACTCACCAGGTCAAAGATCCCGCCAATTGCATTTTGGGGTATCGGATGGTTTTTGACGTAGAAGAAGCCTGTGTGGTTAGGGAAGAGAGATTAGCATGGCTGGCCACATGGCACCCTTGTTGCGGCCCTGCATTGGGCTCATTTTCGCTCACCCCAATCGGTGCAGGCCTTGAGCAGCTCTCTTGCCACCTGCTCCGGCGACGAGGAGGCCTGGTTGAAGTCAACGATGGGAATGTCAGTGACCATGGTCATTGGAGATTTCTCTTTTCTGGAGGAACAAATGGGCATATTCTAGTAGGATGCCACGATGGAATGGGTATTTGAGTAATGCCAGAGTGTAATGGACCTTGCTTCTCGAAGCCGGGTGTCTCGATTAGCGAATTCAATCCCTTGTACTCGGCAGCGCCATGTGGGTGGTTGGTGTAGGGCGAGAGTGCTGGAGGGGTACTGTACCATCGCTAACCGATCAATTGATAGGGGCCAGAGAACCTGAGAACCAGAAGGGGAAACATCGTCGCCATGATCCTGTTCGGCTGGTGGCAAATTGCCGCCTAGTGTCGTGGAGTTTGTTGCAAATGATGATGGTGAAAGATAAGGTGAAGAATGCCTGCGCCCCTGGCACTCCCCCTTCTCGTAAATCCTTTTGGTCACCAAGCCTCCCTCGGCGCTGGCCGAACTTCATCTCTCCTAGGCCCTTACTCCGCTCTAGCCCCTCACAAAAGCAAAGTCTAGGTTCCTCTGTTGCTATCTCCCAGGAAACAGTCCGGTGAAAAGACGAAAAGTCAAGCAAACGCCCAGAAGAGCTTGAGAGGCTTGTTGGTCCAGCCAAGTTGTACCGTCCATTACAATCTTCTCGCCAGGCGCCTTTCTCAAGAAGTCCCTGCGATGCAATCGAGATTGACCGCGACCCTACCTTGCCCTACCAAGGACCTTGCCTCCTCGGTTTATCAAATACCATAGGTGCCATTGGGGGTGAGCTCACCCGAAGAGTCGGGAAGGATACGGTCTGACAAGGTGTCTTTGCTCTGTTGCGACAGCGAAGAATTCATTACTCCCACGTATAATATGGACTTGGGGATGCTTTCACTTCACACCGAGGATGCATACCTGTTCTTCTTTGACGGCGGTGCCTCCCGATCGCTGCTCGTACGAATTTATTCTGGATGGTTCAGCACCCCAGTGCGGGATTGTTAGGTCCCTCCCAGGCTTCGGTTTCAGCGTCAGACAGATTGTATGCCCAACTCGGGCTACGAGATAGCGAATAGGTCCCCCAGCGACGCCAGCAAGCGGACGACTTCCCAAAGGCAGACCTTGCCCGCGCACTGCTGCATCGGAGATGTGGCGTTGGACTCCCTTCCCAGGCTCCTGACTGGATCGCCCTTATCATCTGCTCGCCTCCCGCTTCCCACTTGATCCCCCCTTCTGTGCAATCATCGGCTCTCTCCGCGTTTCTAGCTCGCTAACATCTTCGAGACCACCCTTTGGTGGAGACGCAGAGTCGCATTCCACCCTTCCCCCCCAGGACGGCACTCGCCCGTTCGACGAGACCATTCTGGTCGAGCGTCGAGGGCTTAACAAAGGTAAGATACGATCAAGCTCGCGAAGCAACACTTGCTGCATAGGACGGTGCCTACCGTCGCACCCATGTGTTATCTGGCACCACTGCTATATTTAATCTCTGCTGGTCGCCCGCCTGTCACATCTCTGATTTTGTGTGACTGAGCGCTTCTCGTTCCTAGTTCTTCATTGTGCGACGACCTTGTTTCCCGTGAGGCACGAAGCTACGTTGTCGTCAAAAATGGCCTCGATTGAGCCTTCTAGCTCCTCCTCGGGATCGCCGTCAAAAGATGTCGATATCGAAAAACTCCCCGGCGTCGAGGAGAAAATCGAGCCCGAAGTTCGCCGGGGCAGCGTCACTCCAGCATTTGAAATCGCAAGGGCAAGACACATTCAAAACAGCATTGCACCTCTTCGCTGGTTGAGCAGAGGCGAAGAATGGCTCGACGAAAAGATGGGCGTCGAAACTCAGGGTATTGACCGCATCCCCGAAGAAGAGAAACGCCCGCCCGCCCTGATCAACACTTTCTTCATGTGGTTTTCAATGACTTGCCATGTTGGAACCCTCCCGCTTGGTGTGCTGGGGCCCGAATTTGGTTTAACCCTCGGTCAATCTGTTGCGGCTGTCGTGGTTGGCACCATCCTTGGAGCTCTCTGTACGGCATACACCGGCACTCTAGGACCCAAAACTGGACTTCGTCAAATCGCCACATCCCGATATTCTTTCGGTTTCTGGGGTGCCAAACTCTGCAGTGTTCTCAACGTGGTGGTCGGCGGCGGTTTTGCTGTTGTCAACGTGGTCATCACAGGCCAAATGCTCAGCGCCGTTTCGGACTATTCGATGACAATCGCCGTGGGTTGCGTGATCGTTGCCATAGTGTCCTACGTCGTTTCGGTCTTCGGCTTTGCAATCATCCACACTTTCGAAAAGTACAGCTGGATTGTATCCTTCATTCTCCTCTGCGTCTTGATCGGTCAGGCTGCGCCGCATGTAGGGCCTAATGCGCCTGGGTTCCCTGCCTCAAATCTAGAAATTGCAGGTTCATGGCTGAGCTTCATGGCCATCTGCTTTTCCAGCTCCTCAGGCTGGTGCTCTATCGCTGCCGACTACTATTGCCACTACCCCGCGAGCACAAAATCATGGAAGATCTTCTTCCTCACTTTGGCCGGCATCACCATTCCAACTGTATTCGTGACTGTCATTGGTTCCTGCATTGGCAACGCTGCCATCCTGAACGCATATCCTCCATATGCAGATGCCTATAATGACCATGGCTTGGGTGGCTTGTTGCGCGAAATCTACCATCCATTGGGCTGGAGCAAATTCTGCTTGGTTATCCTCACTTTCAGCGTCTTGGGCAACAATATCGCAATCAACTACTCCTCGGGTCTATCCATCCAACTGCTCGGTCATTATTTCCACGCCGTCCCTAGATTTATTTGGTCCTTTTTGGTCGCTTTGGTTGTGGCTCTGCTCGCCATTGCTGGAAAGGACCATCTCTCGACCATTGTCTCTGATTTCGTGTCTCTGCTGGGCTACTGGACAATCTCCTTTACCCTTATTCTTTTGATAGAGGACCAGTGGTTCCGCAAGCGATCTGGTGAGGGATATAACCTCGAGGTTTGGGATATGCCTGATAAGCTGCCGTGGGGTGCTGCAGCTGTGTTCTCGTTGCTTGCAGGTTACCTGGCCGGTGGTGTACCCGGTATGGCGCAAGTCTGGGTAAGTGACTGTCTGCTTTGTGTCCCATTTTCCCTCAATCGATTACTAACATTCTTTTCCAGTATGTTGGCGCTATTGCGGCCAAATTTGGACCATACGGCGGTGATGTTGGTATCTACATGTCTGGCGCCATCACCCTGCTATGCTATCCTCCATTGAGATACTGGGAGAGGAAGAAGACCGGGAGGTAAAACAGCTGTTTGTGATGGAACCGCCTTCTAGAAAGGAACTTTTCGCCGCCGTGACATTTTGTTGTACTTCCCGTTGTCCCAGAAACGTATCGATTCTCATTGGCCTAAAGCTGCCACACAGCGGTCGGAATCACTCTTCCGCCGAAACACAATTTCATATTTCGTCTTCCTTCAACCGGTTTCTAGCCTTTTCCCACAGTTTATCATATATCTTACGATCGCTACGGCGGTGTTACGCGCCAACCCGAGACAAGGATAGAGAAAGAACAGGGTTCTAAGAGCTTTGGCCTGTCGTCCCCCCTCAGTCGACGAAACAGGGCGTTGGCAAAGTTCCAGCCCTCAAGGCTCTATTCCCCTTCTTTTCGGGCCAACACGTTCCACGTGGCGAACCCGGTGCTCTGGTTCCTTTCTACGTTTCTGTACGGGGTTTATGCACGATGACCATGTGAATTGGCCTGATAGCGCAAAGGGCATGCGACCTTCTGGACCAGTCTTATCGATGGCTCGGGTGTTGGTCTGCGAAATCAACCAACAACATTTGGCAGGGTATGGATTGCCTGATTGCTGCACCACGAGAATCAATGGTGAGGCCCTCTCTCTTACCTCGGTCTAGAATTCTTTAAGCTGGTCAAGCATGATAAGACTGTTAGCCTCTGCCGCCAGCGCTGGATCTTCTCCCTTGAACAACTGCTCATGGCTACTTCTCCGCATCTTCGAACCTCAATAGGCATGGTGCTTCCCCGTAAGCTTGCCGCCAGTGGTCACATCCTTGATAACGGATTTCTGCAATCCAGCTTCTGATAGGCATCATCGCTGTCGCCTTTGACGAGCTATGCCAGTAGTGCAGAAGTCCGAAATCCGTTGTCAACCTGAGAGGCGCGACCGTCGTATAACAACGGAGTACATATGGAAGATCAACGGCAGTTCCAGCATGCAAGTCTCGGGTTTCTCTTCCTCCACCTGTCGGATTCCTCTGCACCATGGCTTCTACTGTCGAGAAAGTCCCAACACAGATGGACGTCAAGGATACGTCCACCCCATCAGACCCGCCTTCCATCAAAGATGGCGTGCAAAGCAATGTTGGCACCGCCGTCGTCCTCACCCACGATGAATATCACCTAGCTACTCTGGGTTACAAGCAAGAGTTTATTCGATCTCTGGGCTTTTTTGAGTCATGGAGCTCGACATTCACTAGGTTCGTGCTGAAGTGTGTAGGGATCGCAGTTCTAACACCTTTACTAG